AGTATATTTAAAGTAGCCTATGCCTCCTCTGTAGAAAATGGTTATATTACAAGACACAAATTCAGATAGCCTTCTCAGAGCCTGTTTTATTAAAGGTTTGAATGAATGAAATGTCTCTTGTATTAGAAAAATAAATATATAATTATTACAGGTTTGAATGAATGAAATAATGTCTCTTCTGTATTAGAAAAATAAATATATAAATAAGAAATAACTAAAAGAAATACCTCCAAATTTAACAAAAATAGCTCTCACAAGCTTACAAAAACAAACTAACAAAATGTATCTTTAGTCTTCCTCTTTATCCTGTTTTTCTTCCTCATTCTCCTTGTTTGCCCATCTATGTTTTGCTTTAGAGCTGATCTTTCCCAGAAGTTTTGAAAACCAGGACATTTTCATAATTAAAAAAAAAACCCCAGCCAGGACAGGACGTGAAAACAGGACTGTTGGTCACCCTAACCTAGTCTAAAGTCTAGGTCTAGCGCGTACATTCAGATGCTATTTTAAGCGCGCATGCTTGGCCATAATACAGAATGAACAACGCGCATACACTGTAGATGATTCTCTCATCTACACAGATGCATTTTACTTTTTGCAAATGATACATTATTATAAGGAAAACTATTTAAACACGAGTGAAATCATTGTTGTGTTCATGACGATAGGAAAAATAGGCATAAAGCGTACACATTTACCCAAATTATTATGTGCATGTTTAACCGAAGCTAATTTGGGTGGGTTTGTCCCATCCCCGGCCCAATGTCACTTCTCTTTATTTTACGGCCCTGACGAGAACATCGATCTCCTCGGCTGTGAACCATCAGAACTGTAACTAAACCAAGCGCGCCGCTGCCTGCGTCTACCTCATGTGACGTCATCGCCGAGTCGCGTAAAAAAATAACCGTTACTAACCAAAAACGTCAAAAACTGGACTTTAACACAATTTTGGAGACATTTCTAACTTTATATACATATCTTAACTGCTTTATGTACCCATTAATCGATAGTAGTGTTTAACCTGCACCATGGCCTTTAATGTATCTCTGCCCCCTGGTGTTTATGTGAGAAGTGTGCGCTCTTCCAGACCTTGACAGTTTTTGACTGATTTTAACTATACATTTATTAAGCATGATACTCAAATGAAAATATTCACTTCTTCAGAGACCCTATTGCTTTAGTTAAGGATTTAAGAATAATATGCTGATAGAATTATGTAGAATTGTAATTATTTATTAATTATTTCAAACTTTGAGTTTCTTTTGCCAACTGGTGCTATTAATATAATTGTTTGTAATACAATGCTATCCTTAAGCCATATTTTGTGATTTATTTTAAAAAAAACAGCAGGCAATGATAATACACCTTGTGCAAATGTTTAAAATGTATGTATTTGTGCTTTATTATGTTTTGGCAATGTGAAGTCAAGTTCTCCAAAAGATCATGTTTGCCTGAGCACTGGTAATGAAAGAGCATTACAAGATAAGCAGTACTTTTATATTAATGTCATTTGTAGTGATATTGATTTTTTTGCCAAATGCTCCAAAATAATCTGTGATAATAAAATATAAATTTACTTCAAAGTTAAGTTATTTCAATATTCAAGAAAAAAAAACTAGTTTAAACCAGATAAACTGAGAGGGAATTAGACACTTTAAGCTTGGCCAAAACAAAAAAATACAGAATTTTTCGTGTAATATATATTTTTTAATAAATTTGAACAACGATACAATAGTAATAATAATAATAATAATAGACATTGAGGACAACATTATTATTATCTTTCATTTTTTGCTGCTTGGAAATATTTTGTTAACGGCGATAATGTGTAAAGGTTTTTTAATAAAATAAAACACTTTCAGCGGTGCTGCATCTCTTTGATTTCCACATTGCTGATAATATTTTAGAAACATTTAATTTATCTTACAAACGTGATTTTTGGTTATTTTATCAAGGATGTTGGTTTTTTATAAATTTTATTTTATTTCTATGTAAATGTCATATTCATAAATGCAAGTTTACAAAAGGCAAACCTCTTTTTATGGTGCTTGAAAAAGAGATTAAAATGTATGTAGATATGATGTGAAAATCTAAAAATAGTAAAGCAATTAAAGTGATTCATATATGCTCCTCCTTTAACATTTTCATATAAAAAATATATAAAATATAATGAATGGTGCTGACCTGTAAAGTATATTTTCTGTATTTAAATTGCTTCTGTATTTGTAATATCCTATGGAATTGTTATATGTATAATGTATATGTAAGCTGATGCTTATGTACCCTCTTGTCTGGTCTTTTTTTAAATCTTTTTTTATTATTATTATTATTATTTTATTGATTTATTTTCCTTCTTGTTGAGGCATGTGAATTATCTTTTGTTATATGAGATATGGAACTGTACATGGTACCTGTTGTTGACAATAAAGCATTTAATAAAAAAAATCTCTTTGATTACCACCATACAGTCGGAGCCACCAGGGGTCAGTGTCTCTTTGAACAGCAGCATCATAAGAGCGGAAGTGACGATGTTCGTTCTAAAGGCGGGATCAGGAAGCGGCGCTGTGTAAGCTATATTGGGCGCATTGAGTCGGTCTGCTAATAGTGCGCCGTCTACGGATGAGGATCGACAGTTTTCGATAAAAGTGTCCAGGTATGATATAAAATATGGTGTAGCCTAGCCACAAGGTCCTTTATACTGTTGCGTCGGCCACTTGGGATGTTTTTATGTTTAATTGAAGGGAGAGTTTCATGTCAGCTGTCGTTGTGTAGCGCTGAACGCGAAGAAATGAGGCGGGACCCCCAAATGTGTTAATTGAGAAAACTCACTATTATGAACTGCTTATTTTCATCGCCATGTATTAATTAGCTATTATCTCTCCGTCGCATTATTTATGGTTTTATAAATTCCCCGTGGTTGTGTAGTTTTCACTTTCCTTTTCCCAGTAGTTCAGTAGCTCACCTTCACTTTCCATTATCAGTGTTCGGGGATGTTAAAATATAATACACGAGATTTTTATGAAGTGCTCCTATAGCCTGTCTGGTAGGAAATCCGCTTATTTGTCAATACATGTTGATTTGTAAGGTAAGTTAGGGACATTTAAATTTTAACAATAGTTTAAACTTATTACAAAGTATGACATCTGGAGTTGAGTAGGTTTTTTTACTTTCTTTGTTTTAATACATTCAGTGTGTAGTATTTCCTTAGAATTGTGTACAGTTCGTTTTAATAGAGTATTAAGAAATCATGCCTTTTAACATAAATTATTCTTATCTTGTTTCTTTAAGCCATTGAAGAAAGTAAACCTGAATTCCCACAACCCTCTCTAATACAAATCAACAATGTCGTCGACATCACAAAAACACAAGGACTTTGTGGCCGAACCCATGGGGGAGAAGTCTGTGAATGCACTAGCAGGAATAGGGGAAGTTCTTGGGAAAAGATTGGAAGATAAAGGCTTCGACAAGGTGAGATTTACCAAGATGTTTCATATTTACTGTAGTCAGCCCCTATGGTCATTAAAATGACACTACTTTTTTCTTTCTTTTTTTTCTTCCTTACAGGCATATGTTGTCCTAGGACAGTTTCTGGTTCTGAGGAAAGACGAGGAGTTGTTTCGGGAATGGTTGAAGGATACATGTGGAGCCAACACCAAACAGCAAGGCGACTGTTATGGCTGTCTGCGAGAGTGGTGTGACTCTTTCCTGTAGTTGACTCTTCTGTTGTTGTACTTTCATTTCCCCCCTTGTATGCTGAATACCTTTACCTCACTATAACAATTAGACTTTTCGGACATTATTTTTGGATGCATCAATATAAAATCTTGGTCCAGAATTGTAGAAGCACTAGAATGTCTTTAGATGGGTACACTTGTTAGATCACTGGTCCTTTTTTTGTGTTCAAACATTATTGACACTGGATCTTTAGTTTTCACAGAATAACACAAATTATCCAAAAATGCGTTCATCATATGCAGTTTGGTTCCAGACTACAGATGTGATTGTGCATACACCAGTAGAGTAAATACACATTCGCTGGGCACAACACAGACCCCACTTTCTGTTTATGATGCCGTTTGCAGGTTTTAACTGATGATGTCCAAAATGTGGCACACTGCTAATTAGTTTTTTTTAAGGTTTGTGAACTTGTCACTGTTCTCTAATATGTATTACCCAAAGGATCCTGTGCATAATGATGTCATATGGTTTTTAATGCTCCCCAACCCCTAAATTGCCTTAATAAAAATATGGATTTGTTTTAACTGCGCATGTGTACCTGTAGATGCGTGTGGTGAATCATTGTAGCCACTTAACTCACATCTTGGTTTGACATCTGCTGCCTTGATGTTTAAAATGCTGCCTGCCTGAATGAAACTCTGATAAATGTTTTCATGGCTTTAAGACCATTTTTGAACTGTTTTGCATCTTAGTTCGTTTGGAATAAAATATCTCAAAAGTAATTATTAACAGGGTGTGTTGTGAGTGTGGAATGAAAAATATTTTAATCCAGTTAAACGTGCTGTTACAAAAGTGGAATTGCCTGTTCGAGTTCAACGAGAGGCATTTGTTTAATTTTAGGGTTTTAAAAAACGCTGTTTAAATGTTTTGTCAGTAAGATTTTTTTAAACTGTTCTTGCAAGTGTCTTATAGTATAAACATAATATTGTGAAATTACAAATAATTTTATATATATATATACTTTATTCCTGTGATGGCACAGCTGATTTTTCAGCATTATTATTCCAGTCTTCAGTGTCACATGATCCTTCAGAAATCATTCTAATAGGCTGAGTTCTCTAGAAACATTAATATTATTATCAAAGTTGAAAACCGTTGTGCTGCTTAATATTTTTTTGTGGAAACCATGGTAATTTTTTTAGGCTTCTTTACTGTCACTTGATTTTTCAATTAAATCTGTCATCGCAGAAAAGTATTATTTTCTTTAAAATATTACTGTAGTGTAAATTTTTCTCCTAAATCTTAATAAGCGATGCACATACGTGTGATGTTTAAAAGTTTTATTCATTCCTTCATTGGATTCTGCAGTATTTTAATTCATTACTTAGGACCACAAGTATTTGACAGATGTTCTCTTGACATTTTTCTTCAACAGTTCATCTTTTGAACTATTAGAGTCTAGATACCACTTGTTTAAGTGGCCAGGACAAATTTAATTGTTTTTGGGACATAAATATCATTTTACAAACCCCTTTAGGAGTGCTATGTATTAGCATTCGCACTTTCTCACAATGATCTAAACTTTAAAAGCTCTACCAGTTAACCAGAATTGTCTACCAGCATACATAGCCACCTCAAACAAAACATAAAAAAAAAAAAAAAATTCTAAATATACATACAGAATTTGTAAATCACCATAGTATGCAATGTGAAGACCGCAATGAATTTTTCGAATATAATAACATTTTAAATTGAAATATTCAGACCCACACCTATTTCCCGTTGCTCGATTAAAAAACTGTTTGCTTGCATATGTATGTATCAGTGTGTCATTTGATCTAATCCATTTGCATTGATCTTGATATTATCTTGTCCCCTTAATGAAAGGAACAGGGTTTCCCAGAAAGAAAGAAAGAAACAGGAGGATAAAAATATCTTCACAAACATGACTTTGTAAATTTTTGATTCTGAAATTTAGAAACCACTTTGCATTTATTGAACCTTATTTGGGGATTTATTTTGCTGTGTGGTGTCTTGTCGAGTCTTGTGTTGTGTGATGTGCGTACACAAATGATCATTATTTTTTAAATGAGACTAATCCTGCCCTTCCTGTGTCCTGCTCAGAGGAGAGCACAGAAGAACTTTTTCTCCCTGAACGGGTTTTCTGAAGTGGGCACAGGGGTGATGAGAGGGTCCTCGATTGCATGGGCATCACAGTAGGCCATCAAGTCTGCCGCTGCCTTTGACACCTAAGAATGCAGGATAGATTGTCAGTGCCCAATTTAAAAGCACACGGACAGCTATTGATTTTCAGGCAAGACACCTCAGGTGAATAAGGTCAAAAATGTAACTGAAAGATATCACCAGAATTCCCCAGTTGATCAATAACAGTACATTAAGACAATTGTTTTGTATCACTGTTTTTTATAAAAATGTTACACTCATTTGTATACATTTCCAGAACAAGTCTGAACATTGTATAAAGCCAAGTTCAAAATTCATTCCAGTTTCATTTTGTCGTCATATTAGGGTTAAAGTTTTTTTTTAGAGGTTTTGGATATCTCTTTTTATCACTCCATCAGTTACGTAATCAGATTACTTTTTTCAAGTAACTAAAGTAACGCATTACTTTTAAATTTACAACAAAATATCAGTTACTTTTTCAAATTAGTTAATCCAAGTTACTTGTTTTCCTATATTATAGACTGACACCTCTCCTGTCCATGTTGAGAGAAATCATGAGTAAGTGCAGAGGCGTTGTGTGCGCTGTGTAAACATGATGGTTTTTGTAGACTAAATGTGAGCAATTTACTCATCTCACATGCACAAAAATAGATTCAGCATTCCTTAAAATGAATAAAAACAGTGAAATGCAAACTTGCAACAATTAAATGTTAAATTACACAATATACTTGATGTATTTAATCTCACTTTAGTAACCAATGTATTTGCTGTTGACCTTTGATTATCCAATTCAACAATACTAATAAGCAAAAATGACTTTAGATAAACATCATGGTTGTGTTCCATTTTTATTTTTATTGCTGAAGTAAGAGTGTTGAACTTTCTTTTTCTGCCATCCAGAATGGCAGCATGCAGCTGTAAGGTTTGTTTGAGCTTCTCCCTCTACTGTACAGACGTGAATTTGCATTTCCTTCAGCCTGAGGCTTATTCATTTCACTTTTGGTGTGAAAGGGCCTTTACACTTGTCGAAAACAGAACTTTGTTTCTGTTGTTAAAAAACAAAACAAGCCCAGCCTAGAGAAGAAAAACGAATGCAAAAGTAACATAACGCATTACTTTCAATAAAAAGTAAATAAGTAACACAATTAGTCACTTTTTGGGGGTCATGCATTGTTGTCATGCATTACTTTTAAAAGTAACTTTCCCCAACACTCCCTCTGTAAAAACCTTCTGAATATATAGCTCTGGAACTGGAAGGTTCGGTGTATGTAAGTGCTACTAAAGTGGAGATTTCTGGTTCAATGCAGGAGAAAAAACTCATTTTGAGAAAACAGCCTTTAAAGATATGTATTGTAATTGAAAACTATACAGACACAAATAAAGTGTAATAAAATAAACGCTTAAATGTGTATTATGGATTTTTTTCCCCACTGTAGTCTGAGAGAAGAAATGTTATAGAAGCAAAATAGCCCAAAATCAATTGACCGGTGCATGAAAAAATGATGAATAACTACACTTTAATATTTTAACAAATACACTGCAGTTTCATTTCTGGGCTAAAGCAGCATTTTAGGTCAAATAGAACTGTATGAGTGAAATGCAAGGTTGAGGTCAACGCTTAATAACTGTTGAATGCTTCAAATTGTACTTGTAGGACACACTTTACCGTGGGATTGTAGAAATAGGTCATACCTATTAACCTGATTCCAGATCTTTGATCACATCTGATACAAATGAGTCTGCTACATACAGGCTGGTATAAAAAGGCACATTTATAGGCACGCAGGATTACCACTGATCTAATTGTTTCTTGCCACATTTTCCGGTTGTTTTTGCATGGCAACCCTCACCTTGATTCGACAAAAACTGGCTTCAATCTTCAGCTGTTCCACCAGCTTCCTGGCCTGACCGACGCTCATGGTGCTGTTCACAGGGGTGTCTCCTTTCATCCTGACACATACACCCACAAAATTACACAGACGTCAATGCAAAATCTCTTTGAAATACAAATAATTTTTGAGAGCCTGATTACAAAAATAAAAATCTAACCATTAAATCCATGTCCCAAGCACACAATTATAATGTTCTCATTGTAATTTTACGTATAGCCTATATGACAGGCTTGCATGTTGCACCTAACCTTATTTTCCTTTTTTTTAAGTGATTCCAATCACATTTCAAGTAATTCAAAAACATCATGATGGCGAACAGTGTGCATCTTAAGTGTCTCAGCTGAAGGCAATAATCCATTATTTATCTGCTATAAGATTTCGGCCAAATTTTATTATCGGGCTTATAAGGATAACATTAAAAATGAACATATATCGGCTGATACCGATATGTGCATCCCTAATATTTTTGCCATCCTAATCTGCTAACATGCATGCACTATTAATTTAGAGAATTAGGGGATACATTATGTACAGATTCTGTGGTAATAAGGTCCCATTCATTAAAATTAGTTGATGCTTTAACTAAAAATGAACAAAGCATTTGTTACAGAATTTATTAATCCTTGTTAACATTATTTAAAAACAACAACTGTTCACTGTTCAGCTGACAACTAATGTTATTATCTAATGTTGACAAATGAAACCTTACTGTAAAGCGTTACTGATTCTGTTGATAGTGCACAGTCTCTACTCTCTAATGGAAGCATCTTCCTGTGGTCCAGGACTCTCATACCCTCTCATTCACTTCCTGTCTTTCCTCTCTTGGTATCATTTACTACTGCTTTGCTAAAAGCTCCTGCCCTAGAAAACCAAAACCTCACCTTGGAATGCAATGATCTGATAGCAACACATTTCATCATCCTGAAACCCTTCATTTCAGGTGATGGTCAGAAGTCATTGTTTAAATAGATTTAGGGCTATTCATAATCATCAAATATCAATATATCCACCTAAAATGGTCTGCATTAATGATTTTGAATATAGGATTTCAGCAGTGAATTGGGGAATGCCAGCCCCATTTTCCACATAGGGATATGCTTGCAGGGATCCATCACCACATGGAACATACCATATTATTCTGAGCAATAGCACACAAAAACCAGCCGTTCTGAATGTTATCTGATTGAACGTATATATTTAGGCATCTGTAGAGTGGAAATCACATGTTGCAGACAGAAAAGGGATAAAAAGAAAAAGAAACTAGGCCAGATACAGAAATGACAATCACTGATGCTCAAATAGATATCAGTAATCATTTGGAAGACCCTTATATATGATGTGGAAAAAAATATGCAATGTATTTAAATTGATCAAACGAAATTAAAGCAATGCATTTAAAAGTATCTAAAGAAGAATGGAGAGTGAACGGAGAGCAAGAAGCATAAAAAATACCACAGTGTATTCGTCTATTTTTGTCATTCTGGGCCCTTTTTTCCCCCCCTTTCCCCCTTTCACTCTATTTCTTACCCTTGCTGTATTCCTCTTGTGGTGATATCTCTCCCTCCTCTTCTTTCTTATTCCTCTCTCTCCTCTCTATCTGCCCGTGCTGTTACTTTCAGTGCAGCCGGACCGCACCCTCATACACAGTGTGGATGCTACCCAGTTCTGTACAGTCCAGTGCACTGCAATTCTGCTACAATGAACACCACTCTCTTGGTACATACATAAAACGCCCCTCTGCAGTGAGTGGAATGTGCCAACCAGGAGGAGGGGGGCCCTATTGGAATGATTTATTCTGTGGTGCGGCTCATACCACCTTTCCAGCAGCATGGGGTGGAGGAAGGGGGGAGGGAAATGCAACGATGAAAAGCAGTGTATGAAGAATTAAATCTAGCTAGATTACTTTATATTGTCAAAAATTATAATGAAATATTTGATAGCATGAAATGCTTATTTTGTTCATTGCCGGTGATGCTGCTAAACCTCCGGAATAAGCGAGCCTTCCCTCTGCTCTGTTACCATGGGAACTGCTGCAGTCTCAGCCTCTTTTTGTCTTGTACTGTGGCACCATTTTGACTCAGTGGTCTCTCCCACCCTGGTTAAGATCTTATACCCCCCACATCTTTACATCACTCCACCCTCCCACTGCATTCATTCTCATGTCACATTCACATTGTTGTAAATCTGCCCCCTAGTTTCCTCCCGAGAAATGAGAATACTGTTATCTGAAATATTTGGTGGAGAAAGAAAGAATAAAGGGAAACTGATTCTTATTGGAGCTCAACAACATTAAATGTATGATGATTATGATTCATGGTTGATAACAATCTGGTTAAAAAAAATACATTTCATATCAGTCTTCAAGTTGGCTACATTAAGAAAAATATGTTTATACCATTTTCAACAAACATTAATAGTTTGGGACAGACCGGAGCCGAAGATGATGATGACGATGATGATTATTATTATTACTATTATTAGCCTATTATTATAACGTAAATATATATAAATGTTTACGAATCTCAATATGTTTTTTTTTTTTTGCAAAAATAAACAACACATTTAATTTAATTTAATTTAGGGTGTGTTAGGTTTTTTTCAAGTCATTTATGAATTGCATTTTTGTAAAATGTGTCACGTCATTGACCCTTTTCCTATTATTTAGGTATGTATTTAAAGTATAAATGAATAAAAAGCATAAAAAAATTAGATAATGTTTTTTATTTGGGGTTTTACTTTTCTGTAACAATTCGCATGAATAACAACGCTTTTTACACCGCAGCACTAAGCAAACCAACGCTGAGACGCAAACGCGTCGGACAGTTGTACTTTGTACCTCTTCGGTTGCCGTACATGTGTTTCTGTCACACCAGCAGGGGCGCCACTGAGTTACACCGATGGTTGTTTTTCATCGATCTATAGATAGAAGATAACAACCGAATGTTTTAGTTTTTGATTACATTTGATTTGGAGATCATTTGCTCTGCCATGAAATGCATAAATTATGCGTCACGCTAGCACATAACAGATGAAAGGAAGAGAGGGGTCGGTCCACTGGAGTTGTTCATCAGTTTATTCTGAAGCATAGTTATTTGTTTTGTCCATGGCGTGTTTTTTAATTAAAGAAGGTGAGTTTGCCGTTTTTTTCCAATGTAATGTACTTAACTGACAAGATAGTGAAACTGCGAAATGGAGACAGGGAGGCACTTAAAATCCAGTTCAGAGACACACCAAAAATAGTTCAAAAGGTGCAGTCGTATGTAAAGAACGCGCTGAAGTGACACTACACATATTATTTCCTATTTTACTGCGTTATTGTTTTGTTCAATTCGAGTCAGGCTGTCAAATGTACAAAAATACATAATGCAGCACTAACACAGAGGAAGAGAATAGAGGTAGAGAATGTGTATTTTTTTTCTTGGGTGTGAATAAATTGAGTCTTGTTTTATGATTCATCCTGGATTAGTTGTCGTGTTTTCATCCTAAAAATGATAAATGGTGCTAATTATTATTATTTTGTATAGTTATAATTACTTTACAATTATAATATATTCAATGTGTTTTTTTATTCCGTCTTTTTTTTTTCTCTTATTCCTTTTTTAGGGCACCCTATGACTTCATTGACAGTAACAGACGAACGGTGGGAAAGTAAATTCAAGAAACTGGCACATCAAACCTTCAGTCACAGAACAACAACTAGATCCAAATATGACTTTCTGAATATATGTTAATTTTTGACTTTGGTCATCATGACATTTTAACACACTGTATTTTCAAACCATTAATTCTCACTGTAGAAAACAAGCATTATTAGATGGAGTGATGCAGACGGGACACATTATTGGATAGTGTGTAAGGTGGTTTGAATGAGTAAAGCGGGACAGACGCCTTTTTCGGCAGTGGGAGGACTGTTGGGGAGACACCGTGAGACTAGAGGACCTTCACCTGGACGTGAAACTGAAGGACTGCTGGCTATGGGTGCAGCGATGGGACCGTTACTGATTTGGCTCCAGGATGTGGCAGCGGTGACCCTGCTTAGAGCTCGCAGGACGCTTCTAAGAGTCGCCATCCTTTCGTGTGTCCTGGTGCTTCTCCTCTGGGTCTCCATCTTCCTGTATGGAAGCTTCTACTATTCCTACATGCCCAGCGTCAGCTTCTCCACACCAGTACACTACTACTACAGGTACAGACACATCAGGGCCGATCGGGAACATTCTGGTCTAGCTTTGACAACAGGCTGTTTGTGCACGACTGAGTCCTTAATTAGTATGGTCCAATGAACAAATACTGTTAGAGGCATTACTAGAGTTCGTAATGCATTGTGGTTGATTCCTCTCTCCTCCATTTCACTCTTAACAGGACAGATTGCGAAGCTTCAGATTCAGTCCTCTGTTCTTTCCCCACGGCTAACATCTCGCTCTTGAAGAATGGAAGAGACCAGGTACATCTAAGTCCCACTCAGAGTGACATCATTTAAGGACTACATTCAGTCGACCAAAAAAAGCCACACTTAAAAATGTATGAATGTCAAAATGTTTTGAGTAATACACAACTGAAGTAGCTCCTGAAAAAGAAATGAGTTATCTTTAGTAGAAAAGGGCCTCACGTATCATCTGTTCAATTTATAGACATGTTTTTACAGGGTTCGCCCTAAATGACCCTTTAAAGCTTTGCTGTTTACATTATGTAACAAGCCCATTAGTGATGCACAAGAAAAATTATAATACTTGTATATTAAATGATTAATATTACTGGTTGAGATGAGAATAAAAATGGATTTTCTGTCATATTTACAGCTAATTCTATTTGCTTCACTCTTTCTCTTAGGTGATGATGTCCGGTCAGGCCTACAGGATCTCTCTGGAGCTGGAAATGCCTGAATCTCCTGTTAACGAACAGATTGGCATGTTCATGGTCAAAATGTCCTGCTATACCACTGATGGGAAAGTCGTTCACTCGGTGGTCCGCTCCGTGAGTGAAGACCGCTCCCCCAAAATTCTCTGTTGTTTATTCTGTAGGGATAATTGGGCTGATTTATAAGATTTTGCGAGTCAGTTGTTGCTAAACATAAGTGTAGTTTTCCAAGTCGTGCATTAAATATATTATGGGTTTTATTTAGGCTAAAAGCAATAACCAAATCAACCATTTTAAATGCTACAAGTGAATTTAGGCATTAAAATGTACAGTATGATAATTTGATATTCTCTGGAGATTACATTTAATAGCATTGTTAAATTATTTAGGTTTTTTCATTATCTGTGGTAACTTTAAGTGAGCTTTAGATGATGGTAAATATAATCTAAATGTAAAAATAGGGGAAATAAGCATGAACATTTAAATATCCTATATCAGTCACTCGGTATACACTACTTCTTCCCTCTTGCAACATGTACTTCCTGCAATCATTTTGTCCTGTTTGCTGAAATCATTGGGGTTGCGTCTTGTGAGTAACAATGTAAAAATAGGAGAAATGAGCCTGCACAATTAAATATCCTATATCAGTCTGTTTACACTTGAAGAATTTCATGGAAGGACACATTAAACGTATTCAAAAGTGACAGTAAAGAGATTAATAATGTTACAAAAGATTTCTAATTCAAATAAATGCTGTTATTTCTATTCATCAAAGAATCCTGAAAAAAATGTATCACCATTTCTTCAAAAGTATTATTCAGCACAACTGTTTTTGTTTTGTTTTCTTGAGCAGCAAATCAGCATATTAGAATGATTTCTGAAGGATAGTGTGACACTAAAGTTCACGGGCTTTTTATATTGTAATATTGTAATGACAGTCATTAAATGGCCGTTTAACTCATAATTACTTGTTCCTTGTTTATTCTCATCAGACAATGCTGCACTACCGTTCAAACCTGCTGCGGACAATGAGCACGCTGCTGTTTTCGCCCCTCCTGCTCACAGGTGTGTCTGAGCAGAAACAGCTCATCGAAGTGGAGCTCTTCCCAGATTTCAAATCGGACCTTGTAAGTTTGTAAAGTATGAACAAGACTGACAGAATTGTCATTAAAAATTTTCAGACAAAAGGCATGCATTATATTGATCTGTCCTTCACAGTACCAACCTGCCATTGGTGCTATGATCGAGATTCAGTCTCGCAGGGTCCAGATTTATTCTGCCCAGCTCAGGATCCATGCCTACTTCACTGGCATTAGGTATTTGCCATTGTTTGGTGGTATCAGTTTATTTGATGGTTCATGTTCATCAAATGATGCTTCTTCCTTATCATCCTGTAATGTTCTTCCCTCTTGCAACAGATACCTCCTGTATAATTTCCCCGTGATGTCTGCAATTGTTGGGGTGGCGAGTAACTTCACCTTCCTCAGTGTCATTGTGCTCTTCAGTTACCTGCAATTCATTTGGGGAGGGCTGTATCCCCCCGAGCAGGTCAGAGTGAGGGTAAGACCATCTGTCTGCCTAATCTATTCAACCTTCACCCTATCACACTTCCATTGGATGCATTCCAGATGTCTGTTTGCATACATAGGTGATGATGGGAGACTCGACACGTCTTCAGCAGAGGAGGGAAGAAGCGCGTAAACGCATGCACTCATCCTCCAGCACTCCTAGTAAGAACACCGTTCGGTTCACAGCCGCACACACCCGATCACATCAATCGAACAGATCAGTAACTAATACACCATTCTTTGCCTGTCCCCCAGTCATTACGTATGGTAGAGATGCCAGTGAGCTGCCAGATCCACCACAACAACCCAAACAAACAGTTCGAAACAAAGGTAAACGATAAAAGGGAAATGTGATAAATGTAGATTTCTGTAATACATTCTTTGCATAAAATTGATTACAGTATATGCAGTGATCAAGTCACTGAAGAATCATGCAAATCGTGTTTGTTTGTGCAGGTGATTTGGACACTCCTAGTGTGATCGGGACAGAAGAACTGAATCAGCTGCAAGAAGATGAAGCTGGTAATAAAAATATTAACTTAAAGCATATGAGTAAGATACACTGCCTTTCAAAAGTTTGGGGTTGGTCATATTTTTGTATGCTTTTGAACGAAGTCTCTTATGCTTACCGAGGCTGTGTTTATTTAATCAACAATACAGTAAAAACAGTAATATTGTGAAATATTATTACGATGTCATCATATAACAATTTTCTACTTTAATATATATATATATATTTAAAAAAAATGCAATTTATTCCTGTGATGTGCAAATCTGAATTTTCAGCATCATTACTCCAGTCTTCGGTCACATGATCTTTAGAAATAATTCTGATTTTCTGCTCAAGAAACACTTCTTATTATTATTATCAATGTATTATCAAAGAACAGCATTTATTTAAAATGTAAATATTTTCTAATATTAATGTTTTACTTTTGCTTTTGATAAATTGTATGTATTCTTGCTGAATAAAAGCATTTATTTAAATTAAAAGCATAAATATAAATGTAGTTTTTTGCAAGTCCATTCTCATTGGTAATTGGTTAATGTTTCTGCCATCAGCTCAGGACTCCTCTACCGATGAGGCTCCCATTTTCCTCGAGGCTCCTCGTATTGCAGAGACCAATTTGAGTGAGGAGGATCCAGATCAAGAGCAGAGGGCAGCAGGAATAGGAAATGGGACTCAAGAAGAAGAAACAGCCCAACCACAGTCCCCAGACAACAGCATTAGACAAAGGCATGGACCCTGGATGAGGCTCTGAGCTCCAAACTCTGGAGTAACCACATATGCACATGCATTCTGTTACATTAGAACACCTCATTTGACTCGTAGCTAGCACATTTGAGACATTCCTTTCGCAATGCAATGAGTATTACCATAAGAATTTTTCTGATGCATTTGGAACCCAGTTTACCTCATGGTGCTGATGTGAAGCTCACCAGAATTTCATGCTCTGCTGCTATTGTTTTCCCTTACCTGAATACTTCCTATATGACTTAAGTCACCTATAGAGTCCTGCCATGCTTAAATGTGTCTTTACTGAGGCCTGTGGTTCTGTTACAACATCAGTGTTGCATGTAGAGGGTAACTGAGTGGGTAAAATATGTCAGCATTTCCATTTTATTAATATTTCTTTACATTCCTCTGCACTGTGATCGATCGTCATACAAAATATTTAACAAGGCTTTAGCAGGTCTGTTTAACCTCTGGGGATATTAAAAATTATTTTGTTTCCCCACTTTCAATTATTTTAATGCTAAAGTCGAAAATGCAAAACATATTTTAAGAGAACCATGTTACATATTATGGAAAATAAGTAGAGGACACAGAAGTTTAATTGATTTGGGGATAATAATAATTAAAACAATATTTATTATTTATAATATATATATATATATATATATATATATATATATATATATATATATATATATATATATATATAATTATTACTATTACTGTTACTATATACAACAATATTCCAACTCTACTTGGAATACTAATACTACTATGTGAGGAAATAGGTTTTTTTTATATTTATTTCATTAATATTCAGCACTATTTGTCCACTCTAACCAAATATTCACTATTATATCTGCTTTATTCATTTGCATAGGATTTTTTATGCATATCAGTAGCGTATTATGGAACGGAAGAATGTTCATATTTTGCTCTATATTTTGTTGTGTTTATTTAATAAATCTGAGATTTAAAGCAATTGTTTCCCATTGTCTTGAATAGGCAGTCACTCATTTGCTGTCACTAGGTGGCAACGATGATGTGGTGTGTAAATATTCCACTGAGCATTCGAAGAAGAATCTGGCGCAGCTGCAATTTGAGACGGATTCTTCTCACAAAACACTGTCAAGAAAGGATCTCCTCTGATCTGACAGGCTTTCAAAGCGTTTATCTTAATTTCTTTTGATTTCGTTTTATATACAAAAATAACACGTGGAAATCCTATATTTTAAATAGCAGCGTAAAAGCCTTTAAAGATGGCGACAGCGGACGGCTCTCGCTACTATAATGGTAAGTTTGAGCCGTTAGCAAAAGCGCTTACATCCATTTAAATTCTCTACCAATAATGATGTTTAGGTAAGATTATTCACGATCTTGTTGCACCCCAAAAACAATTTTGTAGCTCTCTGGGGTCTGTTGCCGTGTAACGTTACTCTACCATTTACATAAGTTACCACTAGCCAGCTAGCTTTTGTTTTTGTTGGGGCGTAATGTGTTTTTGTTGTTAGCAGTTAGTTTAATCAACCGCATTATATCGGTTGATTTAGCCGCATTTTGTGTTTTATTTTGGGATTTTGTTAAAGGAAAATTGAGCGAGGTGAACTGAATCTGACCGCGTGGTGTTGAGGTCATGTTGAACTGCTGTGATATTAGCTACGTTTCCATACGTGTTTTTGTTTATTATCAAATTTGATACATCAGGCTTTTTGGCGCATATAGTGTGATATAGTGATAATATGGAGCTCATATTCGAGGAGGAGGTGATAAAATAATTTAAATGTAATTTCATGAACAGCTGTCACTCCATTTCTCCCAATATGTCGTCTTGGGAGAATCTTTAGAAATTCACATATCAAATTTGATAACGTTACAGCTTTGTATGGTTAAAGTCTTGTAAAACGGATACTTTCCTCTGTAGTGACTAGTTGGTTGACTAAAAAAAAACATTTGTGTAAGTGCTCAGTCAACTTCTATAGAAAGCTTCCAAGTAGCCAAAACATATGTAATGAAGATATAACCAAGCAAATATTTATATTTAAATATATTATTTCATAACAACAATATCGCTTCTGTCCTCAATTTTATAAAATGTCAAGACGAGCACATTGTAGTACTTGTGTGTATTCTGTCCAGTGTACCAACACACCATTTCTTTCTAAAATATGACATTTTCAGAGGTGGACAAAGTACACAACTTCCTTACTTGAGTGAAAGTACAGATACTACTGGTCAAATATTACTCCGTTACAAGTAGAAGTTGTAAGGACCGATTTTTACTTAAGTAAAAGTACAGAAATACTTGTTTTTAAAAGTACTTAGGCCTAAGCATCAAAAGTAAATGTCAATGCATTTTATTATTGTTGCATTGTTGTATGTAATACTTACAGTACCTTATGCCTACCCTCATATCAATATCAAATTTATTTCTAGAACACAGTTCCAGTAGTGGGATTGAATAAGTGGACTCAATAATGTCCACAATGGTTTCCTCAAATAGTTCCCTATTTAAAGTTTTTTGGCTTATAGTATGAATATGTTAGCCTTACTGTTATCTATAAGCTAGTGTGCTCTAAAACAATGATAAAATTGTCGTTTAGAAGACCAAACTCAACGTTGAAAATGAAAATCGGTTTGATGTCTGAACCTGACGTCAGATTGACGTCAACCCGACTTTAATTTCCAACCAAAATCCAATGTCTGTTCGACGTAGGATGTTGACATCAAACCGACGTCGGGTTTCTGACGTCAAACCGACTTTAATTTCCAACCAAAATGCAACCCCTGCAACTAAAATGATCCCCTGACTGACGTTACTACTTTCTACTCAAGGACCTTGACAGAAATGTAGTGGAGTAAAAAGTATGATTTTTGTCTTTCAAATGTAGTGAAGTTAAAGTAAAAGGTTTCGAGAAAAAATAATACTCTACTTAAGAACACTTTTTGAGTATCTGTACTTTACTTAATTACTCAAGTAAATGTACTTTGTTACTGTCCACCTCTGGACATTTTCAACATTAATTCCAGGATTTATTAGCCTTTGGGGGTATAGCTGTGAAATTTAGTGTGAAATTATTATTTTTTTTCTATTCCAGCAACAAAAATTATATTTTAGGCATTATCCAAGCAGTGGCACATTTGCACTTGTTTGATCAGGAGTTACGACACGTTGTCCGCATTGTTAAAGAAAGGCTTTCACACCTCTGACTCTTTCATCTTGCATCTTTCAGAGCACGATGACCGTGTCGGTGGACCAAAGCATCGCAATCGTAAAGGCAGAGGCCCTTTCAGAGCCCCCTTGTACAGCGATCAGATTTCTCGGCCAAGGCAGCGAGGCGGTTACAGTGGGGGTGGTGGTGGTGGTGGAGGTGGAGGAGGTGGCGGCCCTGGTCCCCGGTCGAGACTGCATGATGATGATGGAGATGTGGACATGATAGAAGGTCCTCATGACAGCGGTTCCCGGGGCAGATAGTAAGCTCTTGTGGTGCATGCAGCATACTTATACATATTTTCTTATGTAACCATCACGGTACAACAGACAAGGTTTTATACTTTCAGCAATCCTTATGGCCGGCCACAGAATCGCCGTGAGGAACGCAATCGCAAAGGTGGACGAGGTGGCGGCGGAGGTGGAAATGAAGATAGAGGTGGCAATCGATATGGAGGCAGAGGAGGTGGTGGTGGTACTGATGGAAGTCGCAAGAACTGGTTTAAAATGACTGTAAGTACATTAGACATTAATAGCACATGAATTAAGCAGTTATTGACACCTTAGGATTTACTTTAAAGCATGTTTATGACCTAATGTCATTGTGGTTGTATTTGTATCTGACCACAGATTCCTTTCGGGAAGAAATACGACAAAGATTGGCTTCTGACTTCACTTCAGAACGTATGTTCTATGCCATTCCATGCAGTTCAGGTAAGTCTACGATAAAATATATTTCCTCAACATGCCATAGAAAATGTACCGATATGTAAAATTGCTAAAATCTGTTCTGTCTTGTCTTTTTTGGTCATAGTATCACACTGAGGGCAACAAGGCCCAGTTTTATATTGAAGACTCCACTACTGCTAATGCCTTGTTTAAAGTGTCACGGAAAATATCAGACAAAGAAGGATATAAGGTAAAAAAAAAAAAAATGCTTTCACTAAAACTGATGCCATTTCCGTAATCTTTCACTGTTTGATGCATTTAGTCAGCATTCTAATTATATTTTTCTACAATAGTAACCATAAATTATATTATACGTTTCATGTGCAGATCTGTGTAAAAAAAGATGTAATCATTGGTTTGACAATCTAATTCAGTGTTAATCTGTTGGATGGATAGGTGACTGTTGTTATGAACCCCTGCCCACCACCCACTTTGATTTACACTGATCTGAAGACCACGGATCTGGAGCATTTGAAGGTGAGTTATGGTTACCTTCAGCAGCCTTCAAGAGGATGTTGTCATTAAATTTATTTATGGATAATATACCTGACTGTCTTTTGCAGCAATGCATGGCCAAACGCTTTGATGGATCACAGCAGGCTCTAGATCTGAACAACATCAGAGTCGATCCAGGTTTGACTTGCATACAGTCATTCTTTCTCCAAACTTAAACCTTTATTCAGCTTGGCTTGTTGTGGGATGTTGCTTAAATGTTCGTCCTTTTCTGGCAGATTTGGTTTCTCAAAATATTGAGGTCACTTTAAATAGGAGGAACTCCATGCTGGGAGTTATCAAAATAATTGAGGAGAACATTCCTGAGGTAAGAAATTAAATTTTACATGTATGATTGCCTGAAAATATAAATTTCTTCTAAAAAGCTCAGCAGGCATGTTCTCTACCCATTTTAAGGGGGGGGATGATATGGCAATTATATTTGATATTACAGTTTTAAAATTGACAGACCCCAAATGTTTGAACAGTAGTGTACATGAACTCTACAGATGCAATTAAATCTGATTTTTTTCATTCACAGCTGGTTTGTCTCAACCTGAGTAACAACCGGTTATACAGGCTGGATGACTTGGCAGAAATTGTCAACAAGGTTCCCAACCTGAAGATTCTCAATCTGTCACACAATGAGGTATGCTGTCTGTTACCTATAGATTTACCTTTTCCTGTAGTCTTCTTAGTCATGCATCATTGTGTCATCTTTTAGCTGAAGACAGAGAGAGAACTTGATAAACTGAGAGATCTGAAGCTGGTGGATCTCTCATTGGAGGGAAATCCTCTGTGTGGCCACTTCAAGATCCAGGCCGACTATGTCAGGTTAGTCTTCTCAATTGTTGGTTGTCTGTTGAACATAAAGCAAGAAAAATACTATACGCAAGTACACAAATGCCAAGCACAAGACTTTAAAAAAAGGCAAACGTGCTTTTACATTACTCGGCAGTAACAAGCCTCTGTGTGCCTCAAACTATAGAGGTTGATATTAAAGAGAAAAATAGTTTGTGCTAATGTCCACTAAAGCACTCTGGCAGCACTGAAAATGCAACGCATACATGTTGCATCACATTTTGCAATGTGACCAATTTAGGAACACAACAACACAAAATCTAGCTTGCCCAGTGTCTGCTGTTACGTACTTGCGTAGAGTATGTTTCAGGCCTGAAATAAAATCTTTGAGGGTTTGTGTGGTTGTGTGCTCATGCACATGAAAGCATGCATATGCATGGACATTTGTATCAATACGCAAAACAGTTAACAATAACAGAAAAAACCGATGTGCATAAAAATACACCTAGAAAACATAGCGATTATTAATAGCTTAATTTGAGACAGACATATAATGTGTGTTGAACATTAAAAATACACATTGCATTTTCTTTATTCTGTAGGAATAACAATTGCTTGACAGGAGGCTGATGTGACATTTTTAAGGACATTCTTTGTAGAAAGTGTCCTTTTTTTGTTTCTTTTTTAAATATCACACTTGAAAACAATGAGCTATTTCTTAATAATTGTATGTTATTCTAAAGAAAAAAACAATCCCATCTGCCAGAGTCATTCAGTCCTGTCTGTAATATGCAGGTGTATTAACTCTTAACCAGTGAGCACTTGGTTATTTTCCACTAGTTCGACTATCATCAGGCATGTGATATTTACTTGTTCGTGTTCCAGTGGCAATCCACTAAGCAGCTTAAAAACTTTACAAACCAAGTTTGTCAACACCTCTGGTACTTTTTTATGGTTCTTCTCACACCTGCTTTTTCATTCTTAAAGCTCCTATTCCCCCCCCCCCCCCCCCCACCCCACCCCACTCTTTTCTCTGTTCCCACCTGGTTGTCCCTGTAGCTTTTAGCACAGAACACGGCGATTGTCTTTTTAGCATATTGTAAATATGCTAGCATTTTAGCACATTGCAAATTTCATTAGTTTAAACTTCAGTAGTTAATTCAATTTAAGCAGCAGCTTCATCATGTGACCTCCCAGAATGCCCATGGATAAGTTGGCATAGAAAGATGGAAAATAATCTTGGAGATGATGCTCGATTAAGTACATTTGTGCTCCACCTTTCTAAAATGCTGGCACCCTCTTCCCTCCACCCGCCCTGCACATGTCTTACACCTGAAGTACTGCTGATGCTGCTGGCCAGTGAGAGGCTGGTTAGCCAGAGACGGGTAAGATCCCACCCCATGATTAAGGGACAACCTAAGGCAGGCACAGCCGCAAAACTGGCCACAGCCAACGTCTTGAAGATGAAGAATGATCACCGAAGATGAAGAGTTGTTTGTGAGGAGATGCCATGGGTGGAGAAGGAGAGGGAAGGTTTTTAAGAGAAACCTTGAGCCAAGCACTGCTCAGAAACATGAGCTGAGCTCTGCTGCATGTTGCAAAATGAATAATGAGAGTAGAGGCAATTCTCTTTGTCTCTCTCTGTTTCTGTATTCAAAGGTGGAGTATAGTTGGTCAGACTGACCACTTTCATGATCCTCGTCCTAGAGCACGTTGGAGGAAAAAACGTCAAAGACAAAACATTGAGAGGAAAATACTGGAGGAGGATCACAGGAAACAAGTTTCAAATATTTATATCAAATAGACTAAAGTACAAATTAGACTAAATAGCAAATAGAAACGTAAGGTGTCTGGGCTCGAATATAGCTTTAATTAATTGTTTGAATAAATACCCTGCTGTTTTTAAATTTAATAGTAGGGTCCAAATTAAGTAGGCCATAAAACCCATACACCTTTATACCGTTCATTTATTTTATCATTTAATGATCTGTTCAGAGGCTCAGGGTTCAACTCTTTATTTACATCTGACCCCTTTTATTAACTCCCACTCTTTTGGGATGGTTTCTCACTGTATAGCTGTCTTCTCTGTGGCTAATCCATATTTAAACCTCTCCAGTGTCCAAACACTTATTTTCCCCTGCCATATGTATGGCCGCATTCACTCACAATTAGGTCTATTATAAATGTATTTATATATTTTTTTTTGTTTGTTTATTCCCCCCCCCCCCTAAATTCTTAATAGCTACTCATATCATATTTCTCTTATTGTCATCTTGAGCAGCCTGGTTCTGCATCATTCTTTCGTTGATATTGAAGCACGCTATGAACAAGCATTTTAGTTAACTCGGCGTGCCAGTATTTGTCGATCTATATGTCAGTGCCTGATGATATTTGATTTAAAAATGTAAAAATAATAATAATACAGGACCCCATAGAGTTTTGCCAGTAAGAACCACTAGTATTACCAGATTACAGGGAGTCTTATCTGGTCCAAGCTCATTAAACTATAACCTTTCCACTGGGTACACTTCCTAATTGTACAAAAAAAATTACTTACTGCCTGCATGACTGATTGATTGATTGAATGGTGTGAATGTTCACCAAACTCTACCCCTCACAACACCCCACTGCCCCCATCGTTTGCCAGCCTGCTTGTGTCTGTTTCGGCCTGTAGGGGGCACCAGTGGTGAGTATTGTGGATGGGTAAGTACCATATGCCGGGGTGGGAGGGAGTTGGGGCAGGGCTGTGATTGGCTCATTGGTGGCATGGCTCAGATGCCCATGTTTTTTATTCTCACAAGTACAGACAAACTTGCTCAAGTATTCAGTAACCCTTCACAACTTATTCAAATGAAACGAATGGTTATTGTTTTTTGGTGTTGGTGTAAACTTGGTTACATGCACTACTGTTCAAAAGTTGTATTCTTAAAAGCTTTATTATTATACTTTTATTCATCAAGTACACATTAAATTGATCAACATTAACAGTAAAGACATTTTTATAATGTTACAAAAGATTTCTATTTCAAATAAATGCTGTTCTTTTGATCTTTCTATTAATCAAAAAATCCTGAAAATGATATTGTATTGCGTTTTGCCAGAAATATAAAGCAGACAGTACATCTGTTTTCAACAGTAATGATGCTGAAAATTCAGGTTTGCATTACAGAAATAAATTACATTTTAAAATATATTCAGAAAAGTTGTTTTAAGTTGTAATGTTTCAAAATATTACTGGTCTTACTGTATTTTATCAAAAATTGGTGTGCATACATTTAAAAATTGTACCGACCACAAACTTGAGCAGTAGTGTACATAACGTTTTGTATGAAAATAAATTCACAGTATTGCAATATCTCAAGCCTGATGGATAATTATCTGTAAGTAAATATTTCTCTGATTGAATACACTCTTTACCTATTTGTCCTGCACTTAAGATGGCCTGGCTAAAGTTTTTGAGTGTTTCTATGTGACGGTTTTATTGGCACATGTGCAGTTCGTACTAACCTTGTTTCTTTTGTTCTGTCTTTGTGATTGTTGGACAGTGCCATACGGGAACGATTCCCCAAGCTGCTCAAACTGGTAGGAAATCCACAGTGTTTATCTGTTGGTGTAACCCAACGCTATTTGTTTGAGAACAAGTGTGGTAATCACAATAATTGAAATGTTATCACATTCGCTCATTGGCTTAATTGTATATTAGACACATTGTTTGTCTGTTCATTGTTTAAACAACAGGATGGACACGACCTTCCGCCTCCCATTGGTTTTGATTTAGAGGTCGCTCCTGCGACTCTTCCTCCATGCAAGGTTTGGTCTCGATCTGTTCTTCACTTTGAGACGCCCATATTTGACTTTCATACTTAACCTCTCACTTTTACTTTGTACACAGCCTAGCTACTTCTTCTCTGAAGACATCAAGAACATCATCCACTGCTTCCTGCAACAGTATGTATTTTTTTGGACTTAATAGATACATGTATCTAAGAACTAATACATTCAGATCAAAATGTTCTCCCTCTATCACCCTCCAGGTATTACAGCATATATGACTCGGGAAACAGACAGCCCCTGCTGGACGGCTACCATGACGGAGCAACTTTCTCCCTCAGCATTCCCTTCATCATACAGAACCCTTCAAAGTACAGCAGACTTTCTCTATGCTATAATCATCGTCATCATCACCACTATTGACTTCTACTAAACAGCGAGTGTTAATCTTTTTGTCCGCAGAAGTAGTTTAGGGGAATACCAGAAAGACAGTCGCAATATCAAGCGCATGAAAGACCCCAGTAAGTAATTGTTGAATAATCTAAAAATCTTTAGAGTTTCTATCATCTAATTTCTGTGGGTTAGTTTTTGCAACATCAAGGTGTGATCACATTTCGGGCAGCTTTCTGTTAGTAAAATGTGTTGTACCAATTTGAATACTAGTGAAACTTCATCAAAGCAAAGAATGCAAAAAAAGTGCTGCACGGGGTGTGAATTCCTTATCTCGGTGCTCTTTGGATATAAGGGATGGTTCAGCTCAAAAAATAAAAATATTCCAAGGCACTCTAATAATGTTGAAAAAGTTAAAAAGCCTTTATTTCATCATGGCTTTATCATTTAAAAACGGGTGACAAGTACACACCTACACGTTGCGGCTTACAAGCCTTCGTCAGGGTGTGAGTAGTCTCGTGTAGCCAGACCTTCAGACTGACGGCTGAAGGTCTGGAATTCATAGCAGCTTTCTTTGGCCAAGGCCCGCCCATAAGGCTGTTTGACCGACATGTAAAACAACCAATTACAGTTCGTTTCGTTCAGCGTCACGTTTAGGTGCGTGGAAATGTCCCCACAACAACAGTGTGCAACAAGTCAGTCAGCATAGAAAATCAAAGGAGAAGAAAACTTCAAGAGTCTATGCCGTGAACCTCGCATACTTTTGAGAATCCTACGTTTAGCTGATCTTGATAAATGCTCATTGTCACTCATGTAAACACAACAGTTTTTCTTCCGCAATCACACGTCTGCGCTTTGTTTCCCGGCGGACCGAAAATAAACGCGACACTCGCGCCCCCCGGAAATCCGATAAAATTCAACCAATCAGATGACGACTTTGACATTCCTGAAGTGTTTCCAGTTAAGTGTACCATATGCATCAGACGTTTAGCCAACGTTCCGTGGGCGTGAAGTCTGAGGCCATGTCCACACGGACACGGGTATTTTTATAACCGGAGTTTTTCCTACAGCGTTTTAAAAAAAAATCCCGTCCACACATGCTCGGTCTCCGTCTACATGAAAACGTAAAAACACGCAATAAAGCGCAGTCAAGAGCATGCCATGCCAGCAGGCGGCGATATAAACCTTAACCCTAAAGCCACGTTGGCCAATCAGAAGCGCAAATCTGATGTCAAACACAGCTGATAACGGCGCACACTCTGACTACACGACAACACTGTAACCGGCGTTTCTGAAAATCCTCACCCTGGCAGGGGTTTTCAAAAATGTTCGGTTTAAGTGCGTTTTCGTGTGGACGAACGGCCGAACCGCGTAAAAAAAGTCACGGTTATAAAAATACCCGTGTCCGTGTGGACAGGGCCTGAGGCTGAGACTAGGGTGTGAGTAACAAACACAATCTCAAGTCCCTTTTGAGCAGCAGTTAATTAGTCTTATAACAATCACCTGGTTGCGCTGTGCAAGGCAACCTGAAGAGAGAAAGTTCAAAGAATATGTAGAGAACATCTCACACAATATAAAGTTAAATCAAACACAATATAATAATGGTGTAGGAGAAAAAAAAATGATATTGATATACTAGTGAAACTTGTTTGGGCAACTTTTTCGACATTACGCAAAACTCCCGATTGCACATTGCAAAATCCAGTTATTTCAACAGGACTAGGCTGAGCAGCTTTAAATGTGACCACACCTTTTGCTTGTGTCCTGAATTCTGTGATGAGTTTTGCCATTTTCTTTCAGCTACACGGTTTCGTTTGATTAAACACACACGATTAAATGTGGTGGCTTTCCTGAACGAACTCCCCAAAACCCAGCACGACATCGCCTCCTTTATTGTAGATGTCAACACCTACACAGTGAGTTAAACTTGCGGTTCAGTTAGCTGGTTTCATATTCAGATTTGCGGTTCTAATTGCTTGTCATTTCCAGGCTACACTGTTGGCATTTACAGTCAGTGGAGTTTTCAAAGAAAGTAAGTTCCTCTATCTAAAATGATCAGCTCAGAGTAAAGCTACCAACTCTGAATCAGAGTACACAACCTCATTTTCTTTTTCCCCGCTTCTCCTTTTTAAGTGGACGGTAAATCCCGAGAATCATATAGAGCCTTCTCTCGAGTATTCATTGCTGTTCCTGCTGGAATTGGGTAAGATCTCGGTTACAAAAATCGAATATTTTTGGCTTAAAAAATGTGCCATTGGTCATATCATCATTGTAACCTATTGTCAACTTTTCAGTCTGTGCATTGTGAATGACGAGCTGTTCGTTCGAAACGCCACTACAGAGGAAATTCGCCGTGCATTCGTTGCTCCCGCCCCCACACCGTCCAGCAGCCCCGTGCCCACTCTGTCCGCCCCCCAACAAGAAATGCTTGCTGCCTTCTCCCAAAAGTCTGGCATGAACCTAGAATGGTCTCAAAAGTAAGGACTAAAATACATGTTCGTTACTTCTTCTAGATATCGTTCTGTTTCTAGATTCATACAAAGATGGACAGCTTGTTAAGGTCAGACTTGCTTGTTATTTCAGGTGCCTACAAGACAATGATTGGGATTTTGACAGAGCTGCTCAGATCTTCACCGGCCTTAAGGTAAGCCAGTGTCCGTCCCTTTCTCATGGGTCACAGTAAATCTTCTAGAACAAAGGATCATGTGTCCTGCATTCATCTTACAAGGGTCTCTTCTCTTACAGGCACAAGGAAAGATCCCAGATGTTGCATTTGTCAAATGAGGAGTTATTGCTGGGGATTTTATGGAAACTCTGAACCACAAGGTGCCTTCCTAATTCTGTCCTCCCATCTAAAATAAAATCTGTCATTATTATTTTTTTGGTCTTATTTTATTTTCCCTGTAATTTTTTTTGTCTAAAAGTTATCCACAAGAATTAAAAAATATAATGGAAATAAAAGGTTTACAGAGCAAACATTTAAGACAAAAAGAAGAAAAAAAATAAAGAGAAAGAGGGGGGAAACTCAGGAAGGCACCAAGACCAATTTCTTTCCACTTTTTCTTTGTGAATACCTACCCTCCCCCAAACCAACTTTGTGGTTCAAGTTTTCTGCAAGTTTTAACTATTGTCATGTTCAATATAGGACAGATATGGCAAATAAAGTATGTGTTCATTGTTTGTTGTGTTTTGTAAAATAAATATTAACTATGATCTTATGTACTAGACTGAAAATTGTGTTTTACTGTGACTACAGCTAAGGAAAATATTAAACCGTTTAGTATAATGTTTCTCTGTCTACCAAAAAGGTGAATGTACCATCATAAAATCAGTTACATCATGCGTGTATCATGAGGAAAACATTTATTGCAGCCTGGGTAAACCTTTACATGTTATACCACATAACCATCAGAACCAGGCATTTGTGCGTGATACAGCCAAACTTGTGTGCTCCAAGTAAACAAGTTAGTTCCTTGCATAGGTTTCCCTACAGCATATACAATAGTGTTGATTGTTGGAAATTTCCATTACACTGTTTTTGGAATGATAAATGGGCAATCGGGTCGATAACAGGAGGGTGACCGATTATACAGTGTAAGCTGTTAACTTAAATCTCAGTGAGGAAATTTGAGGCCAAGCTGCAGGTCAGGCCCGTCCCATCAGGCTCCACATTTAGCTTCTTGACCACTCCATCTTCAATCAGCATGACATACCTAAACACACACACAACCAGGATCAGCAGAGGCAACTGAGAAGTGAAAGTCACTTTCACATGAAAATGAGAAGTAGACTGATGAAATTGAGTAGATTCCAACTTCACATTTCATCAGACTAATCCCCTTATTTGTAATGTAATCAAGTTACAAATGGTGGATGTGGCTATTTGTAACTTGAACTCGATTCCAGTTATTTTAGCTGTACAAAAACAGTATGTTATGCTGCTTGATGTTCCAAACTGTTGTTTATCAATAATTATTAATTATAAATGCACTAATTTGTAGCACAAAGAGTTTTACCATTTACTGCACTTTGTCATTCTTCTAGTTATTTACCTATAGTGGCTATTGGCTAATGAATCGGAAGTCTCGCACATTCACAGAAAATAGCTTACTTCCATATTGCAGAATAAGGTGGATACCATAATCATGATTGTGGGAAATGTTTTTTTCAGGAAGACCATCATCTCACCTTTGAGACCTCAAATTTCCAAGCACCTGGAACAAGTGATCATTGTTCAGGAAGAGATCCACAGCCTTTATAGAGAAAAATAGATTTATAATATCTGTCAATATCTAAAACAGCACTGAACAGCATTTTTAAGTAAAATAACACAATCTTGTAATATTTCCTGATTTTAATGCATCCAGATGTATAATATGTGTTATGCATTGATCAGCATAAAAATTATGGAAATGGCCCATGGATGAGGGTGCTTCAAAAGCAAGAGTCACCTTTGTGAACGCTCCTGTGGGATCAGCCAGCATCCGCACCTATAATAGATCAACCATATAATGACTCAATAGATAAATCCTTAAAGAGACTAATTAGACTGTTTTAGTAAAAAGCAGGTTAATTAAAGGGCGGAGAGTTTCCCCACCTTGCCGTCTGCTCCGTTCTCCTTTCCCCAGGCGGTCATAACAAACACATCATTAACAGACACGCATGCGATCTCACCCACGCCTCTGGCCCTCAAATCCCCAGCCATCTGTATGAACCCTGGGAGATGAGTCTGAGAAAACACCCGTGAACAGAGTTAAGACAAACGAGACTGTGATACGGGTGCTGCAGTAATAGGATGAAAAGAGATGTGCACACAGTTATTCAAAACTAACCTAATTCGAATTAGGTTTATTATACTTCCTTCCCAAACTTAGGTTATTATACAGGGGTCGTCAACCTTTTCAGGGACCACTTGAGTATCATATTTCATTTTCATGAAATCAAAATTCTTGTTTTATTTTTATGAAAGATTGCAGTATTTATTATGAATAATTTATCTGTGCACAAAATACATTTTTTTAACATGTTCTTGTAATATTTAATCGAAATAACTTCCCCTCCCTCTTGCAGCGACATCTCTTCTCTTCTCTGATGATGCGTTTACTGGCGTGAGGGCGGGACAACCTGTCACTCGCATGAGATCGACCAATAGCAAACCACAACGATCCAATCAATTCCCAATGGACAAAATTACAAATTTTGTCCTGCCTGCCTTGCATTTAGTCTTGTTCAATAAGGCTTTTCACTCTGATATATGTCACAATAGGGAAGAAAAAAAACTATTACAGCATCATCATTATATTTTAATAATTTAAAGAAAATAATTTAGCAACTTTAGCTTCTTAGCTTTGGCTGAAGTTAACAGTAATGTATTTTTAATACATATTTATTTACTCCATCTTATCATATGTGAGTGCGAACTGTATGGAAAGCTATGATATCCAGGGTAGTGTCGGCATACCACCATGTAGGACGAACCACATCCAACACGAGTAACTGTCGACAAGAGGAAGCTGTCTCTGATAGGGATGTTCAGGTACTAACCCGGATTGTATCCAAAAAAACACAGCTGCCCAAATCACTGCAGAATTAAATGCGCACCTCGACTCCTGTTTCCACCAAAGCTGTTCGTCGGGAGCTCCACAGAGACAATATTCATGGTCAGGCTGCTATAGCCAAACCTTTGGTCACTTGTGCCAATGCCAAATGTGTTTCATTGGTGCCAGGAGTGCAAATCTTGGGCTGTGGACAATGTGAAACATGTATTGTTCTCTGAAGGTGGCTTCACTGTCTTTCCCACATCAGTGGGAGTTACGGTGTGAAGAAGCCCAGAAGAGGCTTAACACCCGGACTGTTGTTGCCCAGAGTGAAGCACGGCGGTGGATCAGTGATGTTTGAGCTGTAATATCATGGCATTCTCTACTGTACTTGATGGCCAAGTACCGAATCATTCTGGAGGACTATGTGGACCTAATGAATTAAACATTGTACCCTGAAGGGGGTGCCGTGAATCAGCATGATAATGCACTGATACACACAGCAAGACTTGTGACAGAATGGTTTGATGAACATGATAGTGAAGTTGAACATCTCCCATAGCCTGCAAAGTACCAGATCTACATATTATTGAGCCACTTCGGGGTGTTTTAGAGGAGCAACTTAGAAAACGTTTTCCTCCACCAGCATCACAGTGACCGGGCCGCTGTTCTGGAAGAGGAATGGCTCAAAATCCCTCTGGCCACTGTGAAGGACTTGTATCTGTCATTCACAAGACGAAATGATGCTGAATTGGCCGCAAAAGGAGGCCCTACACCATACTAATAAATTATTGTGGTCTAAAACCAGTTGTTTCATATTCATTGTCCAACCCCTGTATATATAAATATATCACAAAACTGAATAATAATTGGCAGCAGTAATTCCAGCAGATCCTATGTTGGTACCTTTGAACATCCAGGAGTGAACGCTCCTGGCACGCCAAAAAGCACTCCTTTTTTGCCTTTAAAGATTTTAGCCATTGAGATGCTATTCCCCGGGTCTCCCTCCTGGACCTCCACAGCGGGAAGATGTTGACCAACCTTAAAAAGGTTAAGAACAGTAGCATGAATAATACAGCATAAAACACACAAAAAAACCCTGATCCAAATCGATTCATTTCTTAATCCATTTTATTAGTGTCAATTCATTGCCACAGCAACACAACTGAATGATTCTTGTGATGTTAAAAACCTTATGATCTAAAGTCTTGTCCTTCAATGCTTGAAATTATTTTTTTCTACAAATATAAGCTGTGCCTAGATATGAATTTACATACAAAAGCTAAAATTTTAATATATTTTGAATGCATTTAACTCAATAGTCAAAAGCAGCCAATGAGTCCAGCAAACATGGGAACTCCTTCATGGATCGCTCTTAACAAGGACCAGGAACTTCTTTTTAAAAACCAATAAGGATTATAAAGTGTAGGTCACAAACCAAATATTATATCTGTATTATTATATTTAATATGAATTTTGTTAACCCTGAATATGGGACAATTCAGACATTTTCTGTGATTTTTGCAATTCTCTAGCATTAAACATTAAATAATCATAAAAAATACATACAGTATAAAATATATTGTAATTTTAATTGTATAAAGAGTGTAAAAATGCGATGTTAACCTCTTAATTGGTTAACTAATATCTATATTATTATTATTTTTACATGATTGTGTTATGTATTTCCGTGCATGACACTGCAGATTCGCCTATATCAGAATATAATATTGCTAAAGTTCTTGAGGAACATAAATTACTATCAATAACTCGAATGGTTGATTAACTCCACGGTTTGTTTAAAATAGTCTGAGATTATGTACCGATACTTTAAAGAATCTATAATGTAAAACATCGGATCTGCACAGCAAGCGCGCCACGCGCAACGGCGCGACAGACGCGAACGCTCCCGTTGCGCGTCACAGGCCTACAAGGAAATAGTTTACTTCCGTCACCAATATCTGACTTTAACTGATCGACCACAACATATTTGAATAAGACGCAGGAAAAGGAAATCGCGGCGAAAATGTCATTCTGCTCACGTAGAATCACGAACACACCCGTGCTTATGTTATGAAATGCGCGCATTAAAAAAAAAAAAAACTCATGGCCGCCACAGTATTCCAGAAGTATCTGCGTTTATTTTAGGCACCGTGCGACGAAAATAGTGCCATGGTCATGTGTAAAAGCCGACGACATGCTGTTCAGTCTCTAGTGTGCCTGGTAAAAGCTCTTACCTGGATCGGCATGCTGGAGATGCGTGTGGAGTGCAGCAGTCTAATACTGTGAGCGGCTCGGACGCCTTTCTGTAGTAGTGTAGTGGAAATCATCGCTTTATATAGGCTACCGCATAGACCGACCCAGCAGCGCCTCCAGGAACACAACACTCATCCAGCCTTCCCGTCCAGTCACGCCTCGGCCTCCTCCTCCCAGCTCCCACCCCCGCTACAGGGATATTAATCAAAGCACCTGCTCACCTGCGACTACTCCTTCTTATTAACTTTATTACGCTAATAAAGATAATATGAGTAACTAATTAACTGCTATACAGGATGAAACAAACAAAAAGACTCTCCCATCCTAATAGGTTGATCATCTACTGAGAATTAAGCTTAACAAAAAATACAAAAGTGACTTACTGACTTTAATTTGTCCTTAAAGAGTTAATTTCCGGGAGGATGATGTAGTATTTTTTCTTTGTATTTCGAGTTATGCAATAATAATAAGGTAATTATGATGCAGTAAGGTTAATTCAAATAATTCAATGATGCATTAAATTTAATGATGCATTATCTCACCTAAACTGAATATTGACAGAATAAAGTTTTTACGCAATATGTCTGCAGGGCCGAACGGAGTAAACAGGTCAAGAAGGCCAATCATAATTTTTAAATGTATTTTTTTTTTAAAGGTGCCATCAGTCAGGGAGCCCATTAAGCAGTGGACACCGGACACCTGGGATGTTTGTGGGGGAAAATTGGCACATTACATGAGATATCTGTCTAAATCATGAAAAATCAAAGATCAGTGTGTACTGCTTCATAACCTGTAATGCAAGCCAATATGCATTGCAATTAATCATGCTGGAAATAATTATATTTTTAAGTTTAAGTTTATTCATAAGATCATTTTGACATCATCTATACAGAACAATTGTAGCCAAATAATGACTTGGCATAGTTTTAGAATATGCCATAGGAATATTTTTTATTCCAATTTTTTACCCTGGTCATCTGTAATGTCTCCCTAAAGGATAAAACAAGCAGTAGTTACTGCTGTGCCATTTTCCCTTCCTAACAGACTTTTTAAAATGACTTTTCTCAGCTGAAACCATCAGTTTTTAATTTTCAACGTCTAAAGAACACTGGAAAAATATCATCATTGTACAGTAGGCTATTATATTAGGCTACTAAAGAATGATGGTATGTGATTAACACGAATGGAAAACATCAAAATGTGTTTAAACTTTAAAGGCTTCTTTTTCATTAGCAAGTTATGTCATTGAATTGTACAAAATATCAGTGCTAAACTCAAACTTACTTTCTCACTCAGAATCAGTCTGCTAAATCTTTTAAATGAATCTTAAATATTGTTCAGTAACTGGTATGTCTACTGGGTTATTTTATGCAGGATCCATCAATAAAACGGCTCCCAGCAGCCCAACAAGAAATAAAAAACAGGCCGATTGGTTTTCCACACTAACTCTGAATCCGAAATGGCCTCACGATGGCGCTGTTCGCGTGCACGAGTATGAGGTTATACAGCACTTAACCTCACGGGGGCAGTATAAGGTTTACATGTATGCAGGTGGTGCGACGCTTGTGCGAGTGATGTGATGTTTCTCCAATACTATTTCAGTTTGCACTACTTCGCCGTCTGACTCACTTAGGTAAGTGATTTATCTGTATAATGGTACGAAGCGAATTATAAAATCGCTAAATGTATATAAATGTACTTTTAAAGTAACTGCAAACAACGGGAGCTATCTATCAAAGAAATACTAGCACCATTTGCAGTTTTGCATAACATGAAAACAATGGAATGGACCAAAGACTTTACATGAATGTTCACTGATTTCCTATTAAACAAGTCTTGAATTAAAAAAAATGACGATTTGTTTTCGACCACATGAAAGAACAGACAGGATAATGACAAAACGACATAGAAATCCAATGACAAGTGATGACTGACGGTTGTTAATTTATTACAAAAAACATTGACACTGACAATATTTTAAAATACCTCTATTTTTCCCGTTGTTTTAGTGTTTGCTTTCTCTTCACAGTGATTCAATATAAACAAAGTGTATTACTACTGCTGAACCACTGAGCTTTACAAAAAGGAAACAAAGCACAGACATTTACAATCATTTGACTTCAACCAAAAACAAATACCAGAACAATAATATTAATAAACATCCGCAAATTGAGTAAAAAATAGATTTTAATCTTTTAAATACAATATTTTGGAATACAAATATTGATTTGCTCTTTACTGTACTTATTATTACTATTGACTGTTATCACTAGTGTTACTGTTGAGGTTTGATTTACAGTATATGAATATACAGTAAAATGTGAAAACAAACATTTTGGTAAATTCTGGTATTGCTCATTTACATAAATATACACAGACACACAAAAACACCTAGCCATGAATTTAATTTATCTCTCAATCATTTGTTATGTTCTAAGTCTGACAGACAAAATGGCTTTATATAATGTTTACCATTATGAAAACACTACTGTAATATCATCATTATATTAGAGTTATTATTGACACAAACATTGACATATTTTACAGCTGTCTTTGAATGGACCCACTCATTCGTGGTTATGTACACAAATCATGACATCCCAATAACCACTTAGGAGAGACATTAACTCCTGTGTATAAAAGAAAAAGAAAAAAAACATACTGAAATGTTAGGAAAAAAACTTTTAGCTTTGATAAACGCATATAGATTGAATCAAAAATTATATCGAGTTTCTTGAAATATAGCAAAATTCCCTTAACAGCCAAACTGGCAGTATTTTAAAGAAAAAATAGAGAGAAAGAGGAAGTTTTGCAATGATCAACACATATATTAGTGCCTGGAACTGCAAGACTATATTGAATAGAAATGTCAACAACACACACACACAAAAAAAGACAGGAATATAATGTCCACTGGCTTTCATATGTCTTAAAGTTAGTACTTCAACCACAAAAAGAGAAATCTAAAAAACCAATTCAATACAAAACAGACATTTTATAACAATCTCCCAAATTAATTGCTTTATTTCAATACCAAACCTGAGGCCAAGCTTCATAGAGTAGTATATGGAAAACCAAAAACTAAAATCATGCCATGAGCAACAGCAACTCGTATGATCATCCAACAGGCCTGCATCACAATACGTCTCCTAAGTATTTTGGGCCAAAACTCTGCAGACCCAGATTGAAACTAGTCTTGAGCTGAAAATATCATAAATATCAACCATGGAAGATTCTTTCCATCTGCGTCTATGGCGTGTATTTGCAGTGAACCACTTTCAGAGCGCTCATACAATCATTGCTGCAAACATCATACAGTGAAAATCACCCTGAAAATGTGGCGTCACCTCCGAGGTCTGTCTCTGCACATCAGTGGTTTTCATTTTTAGTACTTAAATTGGTAAAGAGGCCAAAATGGCAACTGGCTTTTCTTCCTCCACATGTGTAGAATAAATAAAAGGTAGCGGAGTTGTAGCACTCTAAACGGAGTATGATTGCATATAATATCAGACGAGTGTCTGCAAACAAACAACTGTGAGGAGACTACGCAAACATATCTTAAAAGAACCCAACGGAGAGTCTCGAAGCGAGGGCTCTGTTGGAGCCCATCTCGTGAGGCTTTCCAATTTGCATTTAATGTTGCTCTAAACCACAGAGGCTTTCAGTTTGACTTTGAATATCACAGAATGACGCAGACTGTCCGGCTGCGGCCATGTAAAAATGGAGGATTACAACACGGAATATGATCTTTTCTCTGAACGAATGAAAAAGCTTGACCATTGGCTCAATCGGTGACAAGCAGGCCAGTTTCATCTGATGACTCGAGGACGTCACCGGAAGGTCCTAAGGCCTCCAAACAAATGATCACAGCAAAAAAACGAAACAAAAACTACAGTAGTGGCCTACAGGAGGAACAAACTCCCTGTTTACCCTGATTTAGACGCATTGTTGGTTCAGTTCAGCATTTATAGTACCCATAGTCTCCTGTTCACACCTGTATCCCAAAACGACGATGTTAATCTTTAAAACAACTGGCTATTATACAAAAGACGGCCTGGTTTTCTTGGAAATTTTCTACAATCAAAAAAAGTGTCTGTTATGCGACTACTCCACAACTAAATTTAGTTTCAAAGCAGGACGTGACAGAGCAGCCTCTCGTAAAAAGAAAAAAAGAAAAAAGGCTGACATCAAATGGGTTATGAAGTCTTTCATATTGCTTTCCGTAATATGATGTTGCAGTACCAGTGTACACCAGTAAACTGAAGTTGGTCTTTTCTCCAGTAAGTCTTGACTTATGTTTTGCATATTTCACAAAAAGCTAGCGGGACAAAGTTAGATAGCACTTGTAGTATGGTGAGTGCATTATAAAAGACATTAATTTTACACAAGTGCCTTTTATGCACCAATTTAAGGAGAGAAAGAAAGCTTAATTGCTTGATTATAACTGTAGTGATTGGTGGCCTACTATCAGTAAATGAGGAGATATCACTGAATCGTATGATTCAGGTAAGAGTTCATATTGCTGCAGTCTCAGTAGGCGCCCTTGGCACGTAAATTTCTCTGAGTTTACAGTAATGGTTAGTTCCTAGAAACACTTATCAGGATGGCCGTGAGGTGACAGAATGAATTACACGTTGTCTGTGGTTTACCTAACACTGACTGATATAAATATGAAGTGTCTGAACTGACCCAAGCCTATGGTTGATGTGGTACCCATTGAAATCTATCTAATGGAGGAGGAGGATTGGATGTGAAAGACCAGTACTGGCGGACAGCTACACAAAGCGTCTTCTTCATATTCAACCCCCCCAAACAAAGTTCTCTTTTGGCTCTTGTAGCCCTTGCGACACAAAAAGACTTCGGGCAAACGTTTTGTCCTTTTTCTTCATCCTTCATTCATCCGTCGTTTATTCTCTAGGGTGAGTCCATCATGGCCTCCAGCATCTCCAGGAAGAGTTTGTGCATTGGCACCCCGCCGCGGGTCTTGATGCTGTAGAAGGTGGTGAGGGCCCGGCCAGCGGTCTGCCTGAGGAGAGGCAGGGTGAGGAGGAGGCGTCCGGCACGCTGGGGGTCGTCAGGGCGTCGCTGGACCTCCATCTCCAGCAGAGCCTGATGCAGCAGGTCCCGTAACTTCTGCACGGCCTCCATGTCCTCAATGTACACCGAATCTGAAGAGAGCAGAAGAGGACGAGTGTTTAGACCATCATATCTAAATAAATCCATTATGTCATTCTAGTGAGGGTGCTAATTAATTTATGTGAAAGACTGCAAAAATTTGTGAATAAAACAAACATTTTTATCCCAAGTGTTTAGGAGAACAAAATAGCCACTTCCAGAAACACTAGTGCAAAATAGAAATAGTAACTACTATTGAAGCCACGTTTATTAAATATAATAAATTACTTGTGACTTAAGAGCGTGCAGACAAAACCCTCTGATGAAATTTGGTCGCAGATGCTTTATCTGGAGTGACGCATCAATTAGAACAACATTTTCTTTTCTTCTCAGAGCAAATTATTCAGTCATAGGAAATCAATTAATTAATTAATGTATCCAGTAAATGTGATTCCATCATAGTTTATGCACAGACCTTCTAAATGAAATAAAACATTTCTCCACCTCAAGTGAATGTTTACATTTTTTATGTGCATTTGGGACATTTTTTGTATCTTGGTTTTTCCATCCAGCTATTTTATGCAACATTTGCATAAAATTATGTAGATGTAAACCTGAAAGATCATGTTTGGTGAATTGGAAAGTCGTGGAGACATTTGACCAACAGTTTACTCAAATCAATTTACTGCATCCTTTCTGAATAAAAGTATGAATTTCTTACATAAAACATACTAACTCTTTTGAACGCTAGTGTATATTTTTTGTGATTCATTATAACGAAGAGCTTGACATTATATTCAGTTTGTTGTGATGTGCGAAGAAATCCTGACTGCCCCAAGTAGGGTGACCACCCGTCCCGCTTTGCGTTGTACCGCACAGCATTTTCACCCCTTGTCCCGCACGTCGCATATTTGAGAAAATGTCCCGCATTTTCATCAGTCTGTTGGTTTTTAATTATCATATTAAGAAAACGTGCATGTGTACTTTTACCTTTTTAAGAAAGCATTTTATTTCCTCTTTTTGCTGTGTTTTTTTCACCTATATTTAACAGCGCTTCGTCAGAAGTACAAATACAACAGCCGTTTTTAAAATCCTATCCAATGGTTGAAAAGAAAGGAGTAAACACGGTCACTAGTAGGTTGTGACGGCTGTCAATCAAAATGTGGAGCGGTGATTCGTTCCATGTGTTCCCTGTCGGAAAACTAATGGATAATTCGGTAAATTAAAATTTTATTCAGAATAGAATAATGTGAGCCTCCAGTATAATTTTAATATTTGGTTGGTATGTGCTGTTTTCCTGTGTTTCAGCCAAGTGTGCTCTCTGGTGCTGGAGGAAAACAGAATTTATCAACTATCAACTAATTCAATAGTAAAAATAAAATAATCAAAATTCAATAATCAAAATAAAATTATCAATCAATTATCAATCAAGACCAATTAGCAATAGTTATCTGCATGATGCCTGCTGCCTTTGGGCTCAGTGATGTTGAATTTAAATGACGTAAAATAAAATAAAATAAAACATGTTATGTTACATTGTGATGTAATGGTGTTATCTGGAAGGGAATAAAGAACAAAGTATTTTTATCAGCTGAAAGGCAGAATACATATGTTTTTATTAAGTTAGATAGACATTATATAACAGTTTCAGGTTATGTTTTAGTGTTGGTAACATGTCCCATATTGTCCCACACAAACTTAGTAATCGTCCCACATTTGGTTTGTTTGATGGTGGTCACCCTAGCCCCAAGTCTACTTTATGAGGATTACTGAGAGAAGCAGTTACAAATGCAGGTATGGAACAACAATTAAATTAATCTGGTACATATAATATGAATCTTGTGCTAATTATTAACTGTTGGCACGTGTGCTAAATGTCACTGACCCATGGATAAGTCTGTTGGTGGGGGTTAATGTTTAGCACGTACACAGATATGTGAGGCGTAAGGAAGAGGTCTTGGGTGTGTTCAAGATTCAAAGCATGCGACTCCCAGTATTTGCATAACAAATACAGATTCTGTGGGTGAAGCAGATACGGGGGTTGAATTTATTATTTACAGTAATCAAAAGTTTCATGGGTTCTTCCAGGTGGGGGAAGAATTCGTACCAGCAGACAGTGACAAGATAGGTACGTTTACGACACAAAACAGAATATGGTCTGGTCTTAATTACTCAGTGACTCAGTCAGGTCAGGCGGGTTTTGATCAGAGGGTAACCAGAAGCGGAATGAATGAGTCATTAATAGGAAAATCTGGACAGGAAGCGCACCTGAGTTGGTGAGCGCGATGGCCTTGAGCATGACAAACTCCTCGCGGTCCAGCTGCAGGGCCCTGAAACGGCGTGCGAGCTGACTGATGGCAGCATTGAGTTCGGTCAGACCGGCCACACGAGACATCTCCTCATCCAGCACAAAGTCCTCTGCAAACACCACCTCATCCTCGCAGCCAAGAGAGCGGTAAGCCACCCCCAACACCAACACCTCCAGCCACACCGACTGCAGTACGGACATCTGGTCAGCCAGTGACAGAGAGAGGAAGCCTGGATGAGGGAGGAAAAAGAGAGAGCTTGACAATACACGTCCAATCAAATAAAAAAACATGCTCAAAATGCACAAACACAGACGGTTTGTCTTAAATCAATGCAAAAGGATGGTCAAAAAGATCTGCCAGTCTATTATGTCAGTAATATTAATAAAAACTTTTTTAAATTACACGAAAAAGAGAAAACCACTTTAACTTTACGGAATAATTATTTTAGAAAAATTGAAGCAATTGAGAAAAGCTACATGACGTTCTAATTAATACTGTTATAATGTTTTTAATCGTATTGTTGTATTTTAACTTATTTCTTTTGACTTGGTATTGAGAGTGGCATTGAGATTCTGAGAAACTGCTTTTGAAATATGAATTCAATATAGTAATACGTCATGATGCGAAATTCCAGCACTGTTGGTAAATTCTGAAAAGCTTATGACAGATGTCAACACCTTTACCTCAGAAATTGGCATTTTTCGCCACTTATTTGCATAAAGTGGAACATTTCTCAGCTTTTTGACACTGTCAATCCCATAATACCCTGTGCAAGCCAGCTGCTCACCTCCTACAGAGACTAAGAAAGGCTTGCTAATCTCAGATCTAGTGGACACACACAGTAAGAGATGTGTGGAGAGCAGGATGAGAGTTGTTGATGATGAGTACAGAGACACAGTGGACACTCACAATAGTGCTCTAAAATTGGAGGTCTTGAAAATAGCCAGAGACTGACTAAAGCACTTGAAATCGCTCCTTCCAAGACTGAGCTCGGACAGCAATTAGGAGAAAAGTCTTCCACATTCTGACTAGCTCTGACTCACCTGCTCCAGTTCCCTTCAATTATAATCTTTCTTTAGGCACCTGTTCTCTGCAGAGAGGTGTGATTGATCAGCACTTTCCAGCAGTGCAGAAATGTGAGAAACATCAAATATCATTGATTAACAATCTGCTAACTGTTTTCTAGCTGGCATTGTCATAGCCTCCTGAAATGTTAGCCTGTTATTGGCACATAGACCTTATTCACAGCAGCGCCATCTTTTAGCGAGGCTGTGAGGGATTAGACATACATCTCTTCAGTGGGTTGTACTGTTATTTAATGTGTTTTTGGATTGTTCTGCTGATGAAACACTGCAAAAATATCTTTCTAAGAAATTTCAGAGGACAAAAAAACTCCAGACAACATGAGCTGTGGAAAATTATAAGTGATCTAGGAGCTTTATACAGCTTTTTACAGCAGATGCCATTGAAAACACAGTAGAAGTCTATCAATCACATCCTTGCTTTCATACCTGTCATGGCGCTGCTCTGAATAAGGTCTATTGGCATCTGGGCTGCATTCAGCCCCGACAAAAAGTTGCAAAACGTTTTTTTTTTAAAAGGAAAGAGTGGTGCGTTAAACACCCTGTTCTGATGACGCAAGAGAAGGCCATTCTTTGTGTTCTTTTTGAAGAATTTTCAGAGCCTGCTCGGTATAAATATGAGTTTAATACTGCAAAATACGCTCAATGTTACAGTCACCGCCCTTGCCGTCCAGTATAAAAGAGCATCCCAATCGAGTGAAGGGATTTGTGGAAAATGTGGTTCCTAATTATTGTGATCCAACATTTGCCTCGCATTTCAGGATGAAAAGACAAACATTTCAGGTGAAGGATAATCCACTTCTTACCTCCGAGACTGTGTTTTGATCTATATGACCGTATTATTTTTATTGTGAGTATTAGGCTTATCACAAACATGTCTTCTAATATCTTCAATTGTTGCTGCAGCGGACACATTTGGAAACAACTTGACCCATTGTGCGTGTGTGAGCTGTCTCTTTTATACCATGTGGTTTATATGTATATACCGCCCTGTTGCGGCTGACATTTTTGACACACCAAACAAGAGAAAACGTATCTCAAACCCTGTTGCACACCGTTTCCAGGAAACATGTCGTTCAACCCGGAAACTGTAGTAAAACGTTGCGCACCGGTTTGAGCTTGAACGTGCCACTGATCTGCTCATCTTCTAAACGCCAAGGCCCGGTGTCACAGACAGGTCTTAGATTAAGCCAGGATAAGGCCTTAGTTCAATTTGGACATTTAAGTGCCTTTTATAAATGTGCCTTAGAAAAAAAACATTACTGGTTTGCATCTTGAGACAAAACAAAGATTTGTCAGTTAAGTTGTTTTCAGTTAAAACAGCTCCAACAAAGCTTAAGCCTTGTCTGTGAAACCAGGGGCAAGTTTAGTGGTATTTGGCTAGTAAGTAATACTTTTCCCAGTAAAAAGCATCAGTATAACTAGATCAAGATCAAGAAGATCAAGGATTTGCACGAGTAAACATGATGAGTATTTTATTTATTTTTTTACCATAGAGCAAAAGAGGATATTTCAAAAGACGATGTCTGCTACTCTTGGCACAGATTGCAGGGGACCTTTGCTGCTAAAATTAGTACCATTATACTACTTAATTCAAGTGGAAAAAATTAGCCCTTCATAAGATCTGGTCCATATTGCAAATTATTCAGTCGCCACAATCGCCACTGTCTGACCAAGGTACAACCACTGTTCATTATGTTTTCATTATCTGTTCACTGTGCATGCCATTTATCTGAAATAGATTAAGCCATAATAATAGACCACCATGAAAAAACAGCAGGAAATAAGACTAGGCCTAATTAACAAACCAACACCAGACTAAAAAAGCAGAATATGCAAATATATATATAGGCTATATACTGTATACGTATATATATAAAAGGTTTACAATACTTACTAGTTGTTTAAAAAAAAGATTTGATGCAAATCAAGATTTGATTCAAGATTCTAAACTGGTAAACTGTGGCAGGGGATACCTGACGAAATCCAATGACTTTTTTTCATCCCCTATTAACCCCAAAAAACTATGTTTCCAGGCAAACTGATATAAAACCCTTTAAGGCCTTAGTCAATAAATCAAAGAAGAGCTTACCAGATCCAGAAAGTACATTCCAGTTTCATGTGCAATATGAATCAGACAGTGAATCATGTTGTCAAAGGTCGAGGAAGGCATAACTATGTGGTAGTTTTACTTTAGCTTAATTTAAGTAATAGGAGAGTGAGAAAATTGTAGCTCGACACCAGAACAGTCTCCTTGCCAACCGTCTCGCAGTTCCTCTTCTTGCTCTCACTTACCAGGAATGTGCTTGGCCCAGCCGATGATAACAACTAGTTCCCGGTCGGCCAGATCACAGAGAGTGGTGAGCGTGCGCTGGGCCGTGTCGGGCTGCAAGGGGTCTGGCATAGCAAACAGCTTTTCTGGCTCCGCCACCAGCAGATGAGACACAATGATGCTGGATGAACCTGAGAGTAACAAACTAAACATTACTCAGCTAAATAATCAAGTCAAGCCAAAGTTTATCTATCAAATGTACAAAATTATATAATTGCGAGCAATGTTTTCAAAAATAAAATTACTGTTTTAATCAAATCAAATAAAAATATAAAAACAAAGGAGTTATTAAAAACATTTAAAATAATTCAATAAATAATATTTTATTACCCTTCTCTCCCTCTTTTCTTAAAGGTATCGGTGCACTCTGGTACGTGGCATTCTCCACCTCCGGGCGTCTCTTGTACTTCTGCCGTCCTCCTCTGACTCTGTCCAGGCGGACTCCTACACCGAAAGCACACACCAAACACAGAAAGAGGATTAGGGCATTGGCACTGCCTGTGGGTCATATCGTACACTGTGAGATACTTGGGTATCGTAAGAGAGAGGACTGGTTGTGCTGGCCAGGTGCCACCTCACCTTCTTTGAGCATGCCTACTTTGAGGCACTTGGTGAAGCGACATGCCTGACAGGCCTTCCTGCGGCGCTTGGTGATCTCACATTCATTAGAGGCGGGACAACTGTACTCAATATTGCCTGTTGGATGGAGGTGAAGACGTTATACTAGAGTTCACAGCAGTGTTTCCTAAAGAATTATGTTTTTGTAGCGAGAAGCCACTTGCTCTTCATAACAAATATTTAGATTTATAGATATTTATTAGCAATAAATATTATTCAATAATACAACTATTTAAAATTATTATTTAAAATATAGTTTTTTTTTTTTAAATATTACCAAAAGAATTCAATATCTTTTAACTAAATGTCATATGAACAACCAGTCAGTAATGATACTTTCAAAAAACGATGATAGGGAAAACGGCTATTGCTTAATTTGAGTCAGACATGACTGAAAGTAAAGACTTGCTGTTCTTGGTTTTATTTCAAGGAATGCAACTTTTTATCTCATCACATTCAATTCTGGATACACATGTCGTATTTTGCCGAGAGGCTGACAGAGCGGTGGCTCTCAGGGGGGCAGGAAACACTGATTCAGACCACTAGCGGGCTTGGCTTACTTACAAGTTATCTGTAACGACAAGTGAATCTGTTACACAGTATGACATGCTCACCCTGTATGGTTCTTTTGAAGAAAGCCTTACAGGCTTCACATGAAGCCACTCCGTAGTGGTAGCCAGACGCCACATCTCCACACACCAGGCACAGCCTTTTGGGAAGCGTGCTTAGTGCATACTTGCAGCGGCCTCCCCCGCTGCCGGTAGAGCCCTCCTCGGCTCCATCTGCACCCTCCTCCTTAAAATGGCAACGTAGAGCGGGGGTGTAAAGGGGCGGGGAGTAGCGGCCAGCGCCTTCTCCTCTGGAACCCCCTCCTGCACTCTGAGAGGAGTCTGAGGACGCTCCTCCCGGGCTGGTCCTCCCGCCGCCGCCTCCTACTCCTACTCCTCCTCCTCCTCCTCCTCCTCCTCCTCCTCCCTCAGGACTGCTGGGTTCAGCCTTTATGTACAGGTCGGAGCGTCGCTCTCTGGAAGACATGATACCTGAGGAGAAATATGTGAGACAATGAGGGACCTTTTTAGTTTTAACTTCATCATCATCGTCTTGATAAGGTCAAGACTGAATGCTTACACGTTTGATTTGCGACACTTTCAAATGTGCCTTTAAATCAGATACATATCTGATATCCAACCATCTGACTCTGACCTACATAAAAATTAATGCATGGGAATTACTAGGCCTATGTCTGAATCCTGAAGGTTAATCAACAGACTCAAAATGAAGTGATGCATGTAATGTCACAGAACAACCAGGGTCGAAAAGTAACAGGGGCTTGGGTCAAAAACACCACTGACATGAGTCAAAAAATGTCTCCAGATTCAAGATATAGGGAGAAAATGCCCCTGTATGCATTTTCAAGTTAATATTGAGTGAGTAACATTTTAGACAATATTATCTGCTTTTGCGGTTGTATAGTAGCCTATCATTTCATTTCCCCCCCCCATAATTTCAAACTGTTATATTCAAAATTGAAATTTGATATCTAAAAGAAATTAATGTAATAACAGTATTTACATAATTGTAACAGCCCTATAGTATTATTCTAATTTATTGATTGCACTCAAGAATTTGACAACATGTCATTTGATAAGGTTAACATTAAAAAAATGGAAAAGTTAATTACTGTTACTGAGAACAACCACCTCCCCTTAATAGGAGAAAGAACGCCCCATATTAAACCTGTGAAGACTACTGCTAAAAACTAACTCAATCCAAGACTGTGCTGTTGTCAGCCTCTGGGAATCTTGTCAGGTCATTAATGCAAACACAATCAGACTGTCTTAAGTGAATGTAAACAGACGGGACAAAAAAAAAAATCCTATGTGTGTCTAAATATTGAATATGTGCAGTAGGCCTTACAGTGTAAATGCAGCAAGTCTAATTTAAAAGAAGAATTTTTAAAGAAGCAATAAATGGCAAACAGATGAGGGGACTATTGTTTATTTTTCAGTAATCCTTGCTCTTTTCTTTTTGTTAACACGCAGGTGCATGCTGAGCAAGCAAACAGCATTCGAGCCCAGAGGTGAACAAACACCTATATGTCCTCACTCTCAAGCGGTGTTATGTTTGGAAGTCTCTGAACTGTTTTCTTTGTTTTCTCCATTGAAACATCCAAACAAACCAATTCACTACAATTAATCAAGCTTCCCACTCACTCACCTATGCTCAAACAACAGCAACTCTATGGATGCAATACATTTAGACAATGTTAATATTGAACCTTAATATTGATTCTTGAGATTTCATTCTGCTTGCAAAATAGCATATGCATGTAGTATCAGAGCATTTTAACGAGTATGAATACATAGGTTCAGTATTAATAAATTAAAGTATTGCCTATCAAACAAGATCTACAGGTCACTTGTATAGCAATTCAAACAGACGGAAATTTATTAAAAGGCCTTGTATTACCTTGTGAGCAGAACACATATATGCACATGACAGAATTGTGCACAAATCCATAATCCCAGTGCCATGGCCTCAGTCCACACCAGATTAGGGTCATTAATCCAGGAGAGGGAACCAATCGTCTAATTATACCTCCACAAAAGATGCCCTACAGACTCTTAACCGCTCCACGGTACCCACAGTTCATAAACCCCCCTCGAGGATAAACTGACCTATGATGCCATTTCTTAAATTTGCTGATCTTGCCATTTTATGCATTTAGCGAAAAAGAAAAAGGGTCTATCACAATTCCACATAAAAAATTACCCAAGATGCGTAACGACCGCCAAGTAGGGAACACAACCAGCAATGATATATGCTCCTCATGATTACTGGAGCAATACCGGGGTCGTGGACTTTCTGATTGAGCAGCTAGTCATACATTTTCTGAAATATATATATAGGTTAATGCACATATACGGACTCACATCATGATCCTACACTCTCTGCCACTCGGATTATGGTCAAAAACTACATTTCCACCTTCATTTGTCCTCAGCGGATATCACACAGACACTACTCCCCTTTCACCTGATTGTGTGTGATGTGATGTGTTGCAACTTTGGCGAGTGTGCAGAATGTAACTGTGCCCCACTGCCTCCAAGTCCACTGTACTTTCTGCCAAACATGTTCATTCTGCCTCTGCCACACTTACATTAACCTGAACTCTGAATTTAACCTATACCAACAGAATGGTATTTATATGATGAATATGGAAGATGTGTGAAGGAAATCAACAGTAATGGCGCTTATATGTCACTTGATCTCATTCTTTAGCTTTACCCTGTTCTTTGAGCACTCTACTAAACCCAATCACGTGGCTAGAGTGAAGACACGCGCCGCGTCACAGGAGGTAAATTATCCAATCGTGAGGACAAGCTGAGTTCTCTAAATCCCTCATCAAACTGAACGAACCGGATATGGAGAAACGTTCCGGTTCAAACACATGTAAATGACAGACTACAAAGGAAAATGGGCAAACGAATCATGAGGTGTCAACGAATCAACCTCCATCATCATCATCATCATCACGCACGGGCGTTTCTCCCGCAGAAATTCACGCAAACCTCACCGATGTGCGATTTCCGATTCGGCTCATTACATAGTAAAGTTGAACTTTAAAAGATGAGAAATTTGATGTGGCGATGAGAAGTCCAACAGTGAGTCGGTTCTTTAGACCAGTTCATTTCAAAGAACCGCTTCAAAACGATTTAGCGCTCTTTTGCGTCATCGCGTTATTACGTAACGTTAATCACGTGGTCCCTGTCATGCTCCAGAAAAGCAAAATGAATGTAGGGACATATTACTGTTTATTACGTTGTATTAATAAGACAGCTTATCATAATTTATAAGCCCCAGATCAGTTTTTTTTGCAGCAACACATGAAAACAAAGTCACCTGGAGCTTCTTTCATTTACATTAAACGATGGGCTACTATTCATTTATTCCTCTCGGCTGAGTTTATGTACGTTTTAATGCTATTTATTAAAACCAAATCTCGCTTGTTGATATAACTATTTTACAAACAACTCGTAAATATATTTTCAGTACGTTTTAAAGCAACTTACTTTTCGACCCACAAGTCAAATCTTATCAAATCACTCGGTTTTGCTCATAACGAATCGGGCATGACAGTTATCAGTTCAATGATTTGGAGTTGTTCACTTAAGAACTGCTCGGACCGAGTCAGCCCGGTTCACTAAAAAGATGACTAAATAATAACAATTCATTCAAAGCAAATTTTGAATGTAAAAACAGCTATATTCGGTGTGCTGTTTTTGCTACTTTATCAACCGAATCAAACGTTTCAGTCTGGTCTGTAAAGCTTACAAATTCTAAATAGGCTACATCCGGATTTATGCTTGTTTGAATTCTTATTACCGGTTTAAAAGTCCATCTGTGTTCCTCTCATAAGAATCAGCCAAATGGTTCTCTAGCTTAGCTTTCGCTAACTTACCTACTCATTCAGGATCAAGATACGTCCCACCTCCTCCAAACGTCTCTACCGGAGAGCATGTACCCAAAAATAGCTATGTATTGACTCACACAAATAAATCCGTCTGTGTTCCCTTAAACATGCCTGAATAAGCGTAGTTTAGCTAGCAATGCGCATCTCTGAACTTCACTTTCCCCCTGACAAACGTGTCATGAGTCATTGGCTGCCCTCAGGAGGATGGAGGAGAGTTGCTCATATGCAGCCACACACACACACATTATGTAGCCTACAAAATATAGTAATTTCTGATAATCACGCAATAATGATTGATACAAAAATTAATACCATTGCTGACAGGTTATTTTTTTTCTTCAGCTCAACCCAGTTGTGTTAAGTTTGACTTGATGTAATGAGAGACAGAAAAGGGTAAGAAAAAATCAGCAACTCAAAATACAGGTCTGAACTCAAACAAACATCTAGGATTATACATCTTACTGCTACTATATCCCCAGCTGAATCCCTATATTTTAAAATTACATACATCCTTTAAATAGGATATAATATGAAAATTAAAATAATCCGAGTATGAATCAAAATAAGAGAAAAACCTTTATAGAGAACAATTAGCTTACCTTTTGCTCAAAAGCCAAAGGTCTTTAGTCTTGTTGTGTATGCTGAAAATCTTCTCACTTTATTTTGGAGTCAGAAGACTGCAGGATAGTTCACACTGGGTGTCAGGAACCCTGGCAAGAATAGAGAAAATTAGTGATACATCAACACAATAAATATTAGACTGAATATGCATTACAAAACAAGGCCTCATAAAATGCATTGCTTCAGCAGAGGCACATATTGCTATCAAGTGGCTAAATAATAAATAAAAACGAAACCACCATTAGTCTGAACCACATCTTCTCGAAACCAAAGCTAAATTAAACCTCCCATAAAAGTATTGCAGATATCTAACAAAAATGCCAGATTTAATCAGGGACAACATTAGCTGTAAATGTGGTCTCAGCAGCATTAGGTCTTGCATTGTTTCTGTCTTCGAGTCAATCCTGGTCAATGTCACACAAACCTCTAGTAGGGCTGTATAGGAGCCTGATTTGTACCCCATATTAATCTGTGTGTTTATTACACCGTATCCATGTTTTACCCCTCACCACCTTCATCATTAGGCACAAAATGCTGACTGAGGGAGAAACCATTTCTTTGTCTTTCTACCAAGCAACCGTTCTCTGGTCTTGCTCACTGTCATTCACTCAATCTCGGCACGCATTCAGACTCTTGGATACTCTCATATGATTTCTGCACACAACATTCTCCCTCCCCCCTCCGCTCTCTGACACATTCCAAAGGTCAAAGTCACTGGAGGGGTTTGAAGGACAGGCACAGTAACTCCAAAAGGGCTCTGTGTGACAGCAAACACAATGTGTTTCACAGCTGAGAGACAATTCTTATAAAAGAGACATGGGTAATTGCAGGGTTATTATAATTAACTAAAACCATAAAAAAAAACATTTTCATTACCTGTTATAAAATAAATTGTAACTGATTTTAAAAAAAAAATTAATATATATATATATATATATATGATATTTTTAGATATTAAATGTGCATTGACTATGAGCAGGCAAAGTTGTCTTACAGAAAACTGAGCCCAAAGTCCATTCATAGACTTTCACTTTCATTTTTTTACATTATATTTAGAGACAACCGACACAGTTTGTGGCCTCCGAATATACTCCACTAATACATTTTATCTTTCAGTGACTTATACTTTATAACAGGTAGCTTATGAAGAGATATGGTATAACTAACAGCATTAATTAATGATGTTTTAAATGAACTGAATGTCTTTGTCACATTTTAAAAGTACAAAAGTGAAATTGTTTTAGACGTCAATGCTGCTGTTGGCATGGTCTGTAACATTAGTTAAAGATTTCTTGTGTTTTTTTCTATCACTTAAGGTTACTGATTTATTTTTTGAGGTACACTAGTTAAGAACAGCTCTACTTTTCAGAATTAAACCAACCTATTCTTACACTAGTCACAGTAGTCAGTATTAAGGCTGCATGATACTGGAAAAAAACTGACATTGCGTTATTTTGTTTTTCTGCCATATATATAGCGATATGAAGCCGTTTCTCCAGATGAATAGCTCTATTTGGAAAGAATGATTGGAGTGATTTTGTAGGGGAGTGAATCTGCTTATAAAATAACAAACAAATTACAAGCATAGATAAATACAATAGTACAAAGACACAAATGAAATAAACAGTGCTTTAGCCTATGTTTTTCAGGCAAGCCTAACAGTATCCAGGTACAGAAATTAAATAATCAAGTGTAAAATAACACTGCATAGTCTTCCCTGTATAAATTAAATATCATTAATCTTTGTTAAAGCTATAAAGTTATTGCGATATCGATGCTAAAAGGATATATCGTGAAGCCCTAGTAAGTATAGTTGTCAGGTGGTGCTGTGTGTAAAATTAAAGCATAATAGCAGTGATCAACTGATTTCCAAGGTAAAGTTTACTACGTAAATCTAATTCTCAGCAGAGAAATCAGAGATAAGTACTGTGTTTTAGTCTTTGAACTTCGACTACAGTATGCACACATGCAACTGTAGAGCAAAGACTGTCAGAGCAGACCTCAAAAGGTGACCTTGTTCAGTGAGCCTTGACCATTGAAGGGTTGATTGCTAAACTGGATTACAAATTCTTAAGAACAGAGATTCCCAATCACATTCAAGAGGGGCCTATAGTGGTCAACCGGAACTTCAAAGACAGTTTCTATAAAGTATCTATACAATTAGAAAAAGAGTTTTTAATCACATATTTAACCCATACAGTAGACTCATATGTAAATGTTAAAAAAGGTTTCAAAAATTGCCTCAAGCAAAAACTTTACAGACTTCCAGTCATTGACTATGAAGCAACATTGTTGATTGTGCTTCAATTTAAAAGTGCAATCAGCAATATTTTTTTGTTGTGCTGATTATATGACAGTCATCTTAAGCCCTGCAACGTTCGATTTTTACGTGTGCGCTATTGTATGCATACAGTGCACGAGACACAAATTTCATCATCAGCATAGTACTTGCATCTTTTACACATGCAGCCCGACTTTTCTAACCGCGTACTCTGTGCTCACAGTTCACATGCACCTTGAGAGAGGTTCAGAGATACCGCAACTTTAGTTTAAGCTGTCTAGTATTGTATGTCTCATAACTTTCGAAGAGAAATAGCGCAGACACTGGATGAAACTTACTAGCGCGCATGTGTCCACCACCTGTGTTCACACACAATATCAAATGGGAGTATACTATGGAGCGAATTATGTGCCAAAACCTCGCACACACAGAAAACGTGTTTTACTCACACCCAATGATTCACAAACAAACTCAATGTGGTTTGTAAATACAAAACATCACTCACAAACTAATGCATATTGTTTTGCAAATAAAAAACTTACCTATCAAACAAATACAGTATGTTTTACATATACATAGAAACGTATTTCTTCAATGACAAAAATATCCTCCAAGTACGAAACAAAAACCTTCAAGTACAAAGCAAAATTCTACAAGTACGAAACAAAAACCTTCAAGTACAAAGCAAAATTCTACAAGTACGAAACAAAAACCTTCAAGTACAAAGCAAAATTCTACAAGTACGAAACAAAAACCTTCAAGTACAAAGCAAAATTCTACAAGTACGAAACAAAAACCTTCAAGTACAAAGCAAAATTCTACAAGTACGAAAAACTGTCACGTCACTTTTGGCACTATTTTTCCGCGTCCAGTCCAGGCAGATAGTGTAGACATATTAATTTAGTAATTTTGCACGAGTAATGTAGAAAAAAATGTAAAAGCAACATATGATGACAGAGCTTTCAGCTTATAGATTCCCCTATCCTAGAGAGAGTACTAATGTGGATTTCTGTCTAGATATGTAATAAACATTTGGCAAAGAAAACCTCAAAAGGTAAATTATAGATACTGTAAGACAGAAACTCACCTGTTGTTCACCGCTCATTTTCACCGCTGTGGCAAAGGGAAGCACGAACGCGTTTCAAACAATCACTGCTTCTCCCGGGAGGACTAGCGCTAAATTAATCCCGTGCGCCATCTACTGTTTTGGAAGAGGAAGTTGCTCAACTGCATTTGTGAGAAAATCAGCGTGGATATATTTGTGAGAAAATCTGCCTGGACTGGACGCGGAAAAATAGTGCCAAAAGTCACGTGACAGTTTTTCGTACTTGTAGAATTTTGCTTTGTACTTGAAGGTTTTTGTTTCGTACTTGTAGAATTTTGCTTTGTACTTGAAGGTTTTTGTTTCGTACTTGTAGAATTTTGCTTTGTACTTGAAGGTTTTTGTTTCGTACTTGGAGGATATTTTTGTCATTGAAGAAATACGTTTCTATGTATATGTAAAACATACTGTATTTGTTTGATAGGTACGTTTTTTATTTGCTAAACAATGCATTAGTTTGTGAGTGATGTTTTGTATTTACAAACCACATTGAGTTTGTTTGTGAATCATTGGGTGTGAGTAAAACACGTTTTCTGTGTGTGTGAGGTTTTGGCACATAATTCGCTCCATAGTATACTTTTAAAGGCAATGCGTTCTACTGTGGCGAAGTGCCGTGAAAAAAACAAACAAAAAAACAAGTAAAGTTTGGGCTTTCTACTGACAACTACAGCAGGATGCAGAATCACAGAGATTAATTTATTCCAAAAATGTTCAATAACAAGGATGTTACAGGGTCGGCTGGTCACATTACATGATCTCAACATGTCTGCCCCCAACTGGCTCCATATAAAACAAATCAGCTTTTATCAACATTAAACAGAAGTTGCGTTAGTCTTTTCTTCTCTATCGTGACGTATATCTAAATTAAATGGCTTCACGAACAAACAAAAAAAATGGAGGACGCGACTTGATTTTGTCCATCTGGAATTGATTGGATCGTTTGATCTGTGGTTTGCTATTGCTGTGATCTAATTTAAGTGGCTGGTTTGCCCCTCCCTTGTGCCAGTAAACACGTCATCAGAGGAGAGAAGTCAGTGCAAAAGGGAGGGGAAGTTATTTGAGTAAAGATAACGAGGGCACATGAATTTAAAAATAAAATAATGATGAGCATGGATAAATCATTTTGAATAAACACTGCAATATTTCCATAAAATTAGAAATGGTCCATATTGATTTCATGGTGACTTTCATCTCTAGTCAGAGGACATCATTTTAAACTGAGTTTAAACTTTCGAAATAATAAACGATTTATTTGAGGGTAAAACTTTTTAATGTGGGAAACGATTAAGTAAGTCTGTGAAGCGTAAAATACGTAACGTTACAGCTTTTGATTAGCCTACATTTGATAAACATAACTACTGCTACCAAGTCTGCTTCAAAGAGTGCCCACAGACTTTTAAAAGCCAAATAAAATTACTATGTTCTTGTACCAATTGCATTACGTCAGCGACGACGTGTAGCCTACAAGAATATAAGCAGATCTGTCGCTCCAGGTAGTTTGTTTCCAGACTGAAATGCTGGACCGGTAATGCGACATGTCTCGAGTAGCCTAGAGTCCGAGGTAAAAATCTCACGCGCTGACACAATGCATGAGCCAGGGGACAACTCGATCAAGGTCAGCGTGCTGCAAAGTGTTACTGCGGACTTTCCCCCCCTTTTTATCGCAGTAAGAAGCGCATAATGCTCATTTATATGCAACGATTAAGCAACAGTCTGCGAATTCAAATGTTAAGCACTAAATCAAATCTGTCAAGACATGTTCTCGTGCTGTTAGTAGTCGTACAAACAGCAAACTATCAGAACACACTGACCTATTTACAGTGTAAAGTTTTTACTGCTGAGCGTAACATGGAAATATCGGTAGCGACAGCAGACAGTTGCCAGTGATGATCTGTATGACGACAGTATCATGATTATCTGACAGGTTCACAACAAGCGCATTAGCATTAAACGCACAAAATAAAGGATATTGCGTTGCTGGGTGCCGGTTGGATGAATACTTACCAGTAATTCAGAGAACATTGCTGGTGCCTCGAAAACAACCAAGGAAACCAGTGAGCAAAACAGTCAATCCTACAAAGGACTATCACATAAATTATAACGCAGTGTCTTGTCCTACACACGCGGATTTAAAGAGCAGATACTCTGCCTATTTGCTGAGGTGGGCTACCTTACTTAGCAATTCTGGTGCTGTACTACGTACGATACGGTAGGCTATATGTGACGTAAAATCAATGCAACTACACGATAATTTGAATGAATGGCGGCGCGAGTGCAGTCAGTTGAGAAAGCGCGTATGTTTAATCCATGTTTGATTCGCTCTTCCCTGGACTAGTTCCTCATATTGCTGTTTCGGTTGTCACTGGAAGCCTGAATCCTGTCTTCCGCTAATACAGCTGAGATCCCGGTTACGTATATCCTCGTTGTTTCTCCTCCCTCTCTGCTCTTGCGTCTGCTGTTTCTCCGTTACGTCCACTCCCGCTTCCAATCACGCGTCCTCGCGCCTCCGTCACGAGCGGCAGCAGCAGCGCTTTAAACAATAAAGAGAGGTTGACCTACTGTATGTCTGACTCACGAGTTTACACACTTTTGATCTATTATCCGAAGCAATTATTCAGATTTCTTACATCCCTGGCTATTTTGGTAACTGATTGAAGGGTAAATGAAACAAAGCTCGGTGCAAACAGAGTCCATTTAATAACTGCCATGATTCGTGACTATTAATAATTCGGCCTCCCCACAGGGTTCGTCGAAGCTGAGAATAAAGCATTAATCTAGTCCCAAACTATACATTTCGGCTGCTGATCTAATTGTACTAATGCTTATTCATTTCCCTGTTTAATTTATGAAGGGACTTTAAAACATGTGACACATTTTTCAAGGATAATTCCGATTTAATGTCAACCGAATAATAGCCTACCTTTATAAACAGAACCCAGTCTTTCACGTGCACGCGCCGTGTAATTTTTGCCGTAGAAAATCATAGTTAATGATAAATTGAACCAATTCTACACCAAACCATGTGGTTAGCGGAAGTTATAGCCCATGTGGATGAAAATGATATTTATGGGACAATACATGTATTTTTACTGTAAATAGGCCCACAGAAAAATAAATAGGCACATTATAATTTATGCTATCACCTTATGTTTCTTATTTTGTTATCTGTTATGTATACACATGCTGCTTTATGTCACATTCTATGTTGTTTAGTTCATGTTTAGGCTACGGCATAATTTCAGTCTCGTGATTGTTGAAGTGTCAGTGTTCGTTTAAATGTCATCATGTGGCCTTTTGTTTTACTACTCAGGTTATATCTATATCAGTTGATGATATAGGCTATGCTAAAATATAGACTGTGTGTGGACCAAATAAGTTCCGTTCAGAAAAACCCGAGTCCGTAGTAATGCGACAGAATGCGTTTGTCCCATTGAGCTCAAAAGGCAGAGCTGTAAATCAAACAACGCTTTAGATGGCATGGAAAATGTCAGTCCGCTCGGTCTTGTGACACTGACCCAGCTCACTGCTCTAGGCCTCCCATAGTCAGCTGGTTCCTACTAGAGTTATGGGCTGTGAGCCAGCGGCGCAGAGTTCACAGTGACTGCGGAGAGAGGAAAGGAGAGAAAGAAGGAGAGACTACAATCCGCGTAACCTGATCACTGCACGCCGAGAGAAAGAGCGTCGCGCCTCAAAGCCGCGCAATGCTGTTGTAACGGAAAAGAGTCTCGTGTTAAGGAAATGATTAGGCTACAGTGTGGTCTAGGCTATTTTAGAAATGCACCTCACACAGCATGACCGAAACCTGTCCGTTTTGTCAAATTATTTGAAATGAGACGGTATAATTGTCTATTAAGAACACTATAAGAACAAAATAGCCTACATGCATGATGTGGCGTAGACTATGTGTATGGAAGCAACGGCGTGCCGCATGAAAAACGATTTAAAAAAGCAAACAGGAAGCCCTAGTGTTCCTGTTGTCATTGAGAACGTGCACGCGACCTTGAATTGAAGGTCATTCCCCGACGCAGCGCTGCATTTCAGCCGAGCTGCGCGCGCGCTGGCGCATTCTGTTCCTGTCTGACTGAAGCTCTTCACACGGAGGAGCTCCTTTACCGCACGATTCCTCACATGCCCTCGTTTGAACGGTCCTGTCACCGTTTAGATGGTTTACAACTTTTACGGAGTGTCATGAGATCTTTTCCGACGGAGGCTTTTGTGTAAATTTGGTTTATGGCTCTGCCACAAAAGGTCACACCTCGGTGCTCCGGAATGCTGACAGAGGTCATGACCCCAGAAACAGGTGGGAGCAGCTACACATAAGAGCCTCAAAAAGACAACAGCTGGGAGGTGAAGGCTATCAAATAGTCTCTGAGGCTATGCAGTAAGGGGACACTGAATCATGTTAAACAGCATCTTCTTTTCTTTTTTAACAAACTCACAATTAAACACACACAAAATCATGTGGATTTTTTTTAATATCAGCTAAAACAATGCACTGTCTTCTTCACTCCCACTGATACTCATACAACCGGTTATTTTAAACATGAGAGGAACTTTTGGTGAGATATTTAATAAACGACCATTTGTAGTTTTAGTCTATGGTAAAAGGGGTAGCCTAGTAGTAGTCCATGTCATAAAAGGTATGGATATCATTCCCAATATAGGCTAACTGTATAGTATAGGCTACTAGTAGCCTATATTCTGTTTTTGATTGCTTACCCATTTTGATTTAAATGCATGCAACACAAAACATTCTTCATATTTATTTATTTTGTATAGATTAGAGTGCTTTATAATGAATGAAACCCTCAAAAGAAGCGAATGGTGTAATTGCATCACAGTGTAAGCAGGAAGACGCAGCGCAGCACCATCTAGCGGTGATGTGATTAATCAGCAGATAAGTGGATTGTGCCAGTCTGCCGACTAGTGACGTCTATGTACAGAGTGTCCTCGCGCACAAGGTCATATGTTTCCGTGCACGAAAGTTGAGACATCCGAGCATGTGGCCCAGTTTAAGCTCCTGTAGTGTAGCAACAAAAGCGATAACAGTGTTCAGTGGTGCCAAGATAATCAGCGAGAAATAAAAATGCAAAGAATAACGCAATAATGATTGACAAACGCGTGGTATTAAACCTTTTTATTTCTGTAGGCCTATCTCATATTGGTCACTAGTAGCCTACTCAAGGTTGTCAAAATAATTTTGTAATATTCACTGTGCAATGTAAGGTGATTGAATTATATAGGATGTCAGATAGTAATATAATTCATGTTTGTGTTTATTTTGGGATTTTTAGCTGGTAAGAGGAAAAATATTATCAGCCCTGTTTCTGTTCTGACCAACATAAACATAGCAAATACTAAATTTCACATAAACGCTGTGTGTATGTCTGTCTCCCTCTGCCAGATCACCATAATCACCAGATTTATAGAAATTAAAGTTACCATGAAATCGTGAAATAATACCATTTTAATGGAATATTGTAGTAGGCTATCTATTATAAATGATTTATCCATGCTCATCATTTTTTAAATTCGTGTGCCCTTGTAATCTTTAATCAAAATATATTCTCCCTCCCTCTTGCAGGACATCTCTTCTCTAATGATGTGTTTACTGTCGTGAGGGCGGCACAACCTGTCACTCATGAGATCGACCAATAGCGATCCAACGGTCCAATCAATTCTCAATGGACAAAATCAAGTCCCGCCTTACATTTTTTTTCCTATAAATTTTTTGTTGTTGTTGTTTCACTCAGATATACATCACAATAAGCATGTAAAGACTATCACGACTTCTATTTTATGTCGACTTTAAAAGACAGACTTGGACATTTCCTACATTTGTCTGTCCATTTTTGAGGGTTCAGGAGAGGGACTGATGGTTTAGTTCAGTGAAGTTCTGTCTACAAAAGAAGAATGCATAGAGTTGTATGGGGTAAAATAAATAAATAAATTCAGAATTACAATTAAAAACATATGTGATTATAGTGAATGGGGATCCTGTCCGAATTAACCGAAAAAATCTGAGTGCAATTTGCTGTGAAGTCTTATTTCAGCACTTCACAGGGTTTTAAGGTAAGCTTTCAGCACAGGATTATGGCAACCTCACCCACTGAGTCGGATTACATTTGTTTCCTTCACAGTTGCTCAAGATGTTTCAGCTGTTATTCATAATGCAAGTTTTTTTGTTTTTGAATTATACTGGGTAATTTTATGTTCCGACTGTATATGATGTTAGGCCTGTTTCATGTACAAAAGAGGTGTGTATTCGCATTTCAGAGGCCTTGTTAAAGTTAGCGATAATAATACATCAGCAAAATAAGCCTATTTTTTCCAGCTGAACTTGATGAAAATGCATTATAAAACAATTTATCTACATGATCGTTTGAAATATAATCTTTTATGCAGTAACACAAACAAATGGTGTGTAAATGGTAGTGTGCAAGTTAGATTACCGGTAGTATTCTTTTCAGTAAATCTGGCTGTATGATTTTAGCAGAATATTCTGCATATGGGGTTTGAAACATTCTGTGTAGATTTGTTAGCATTTATATGGAAAAGTGAGTGTCTTCCCTATGTAAATAAAGTATTTATCAATAGGATAACTCTTATGATCACCAAATCTGCATTTATTTGTCAAAAGTACAGTAAAAATGCTGTATTGTCAAAATACAGTAAAACAAATATTATTAAATGTTATTACAATTTAAAATAAAAGTTTTCTATTTGAATATATTTTAAATTGTAATTTATTCCTGTGATGGCAAAGCTGAATTTTCAGCATCATTACTCCAGTCTTCAGTGTCACATGATCCTTCAGAAATCCTTCTAATATGCTGATTTGCTGCTTTGAATAACTATGTATATTATAGTGTACATAAAATGAACTTTTAGCTCATATTCAGACTGTTTTAATTTAATACAGCAATATGACCGTCTGAAAGACTTTGTTGTCATCAAGAATGCAAGATTGCAGAGGCCTAAAGTTGCTATTTTAGTCTAAATCGGAAACAAATATAATCGTATTTGTAATGGGTGAGGCTGATGTAACCTCTTGCTAAAAGCTTTTCAGATCTTTTCAAGTGATCTGTGTTGATTTTAACCTTAACCCCAATGCTGGACACTCCCAGATGTCTTCTATAAAAGTTCCTGCTCAGCTCCCTCACAGTTCCCCTCTGTTAGAAATCCATCGAGGGAAAATGGACTGTATATTGCTTTTCTCCATCTCAGCTGTGCTGCTAAATCTCTCTCAAGCTTTTCCTGCTACGGTACGAGCTGCACCTTTCAGTGTTGAGCATCTTCAAAATGTACTCACTCACTCACTCACTCACTCTGTATCTGCTCTTTCCACAGATGCTGCCCACTGGTCAAGGTGACTTTCTATTCGACCCTCTTGCGTTCTTGTGACCCACAGAATTGCACATTTTGTATGTCTCTCTTATCAGACACATTCAGATAAGAGAGATTTATGCGACTCTCTGTTAATGAGCTGATGATCGGAATCAGTAGTCTTAACTAATGGCAAAAACAACATATCCAATGGATCCCAAATACCAAGGACCACTGATTTAGATCAATAAATTACAAAAATATTCAAAAGTATGGTTTAATTTTGTCATTCTTTGTTCAGATATCCAGTCTGAGAAGCACAACGATATGGATATTTCCTCAAGAATTCTGGAGGCAAACAAAGGTGATTGTTTATTTATTACTTTATTATGACAATATATGTCAGAACTGAATCAACACTGACCTGGCTTTGCATAATTGAATAATTTTCCTGGTTGAATCAATGAATCATTTCCATTATATAATGGTTAATTAAAATTAACTTTATCATTTTGACTATATGTGAATATTAATTAAAATGTTAACTATAAGCTACATATTTTCATGTCCTTTTTACAGTTAAAAACATGTATGTCTTTTAAAATATAAAAAATCATTCAATTACATCATTACATTATGTTCCTTAGTTAAATGAGTGAAATGATCTGACTCTTATTGTTTTGTTTTGATTCAGAGATCAGTGACGTGCTTCTGGAGGGAGATATGGCCTTACCCAAAACGAGGAATGCCATGAAATGCTTGAATGACTACTGCAAATGGCCAAAATCCCCATCTAAAATGGTTGAAGTGCCATACACCATTGCTAATGACTACTGTGAGTGATTCGAAAAAATCCACTTGTATGTTGATCGGCATCAAAATCCAGTGACGTATATACATATACAATTTCTGGCGATTATGATAGATAACGATGAGAAGGCACTGATCGAAAACGCAATGAAGAGCATCGCTGCAAAAACCTGCGTCCGTTTTGTGCCACGAACCAATCAAGTGGACTACCTCAGCATTGAGAACCTACTAGGGTGAGCTTGACCACCCCTAAATAATGAATAGACTTTATAAAAGTCTGGGGTCAGTTTTATTCAGCAAGAATGAATTGATCAAAAGCAATAGTAAAGACATTTATAATGTCATAAAAAGTTTCTATTTCAAAATGCTGTTCTTGTGAACTTTTTATTCATCAAAGAATCCTGAAAAAATGTCATGGTTTCCACCAAAAATAAGCAGCACAACTGTTTTCAACATTGATAATACTAAAAAATGTTTCTTGAGCAGCAAATTAGCATATTAGAATGATTTCTGAAGGATCACTGTATTTCAGCTTTGCCATCACAGGAATAAATAACTTTTTAATATATAGGGAAATTATTTTAATTTGTAATGATATTTCAAAATTTTACTGTATGTTTGATTAAATAATAGAAGCCTTGGTGAGCAGAGACTTCTTTCAAAAACATTACAAAATCTTACCGACCCCAAACTTTCGAACTGTAGTGTACATTTGAAGAGTTTAACCAGACATGTATTGTTACGCTGTGATCATTTTAGTGTTTTAATTGTATTCCTTTGTTTACAGCTGTTGGTCTACTGTAGGGAGATCTGGAGGGAAACAGCAGGTGTCTCTGTCTGTGGACGGCTGTGTCTCTCACGGGCTCATTGAGCATGAGCTCATCCATTCTCTGGGGTTCCACCACGAGCACACCAGGAGCGACAGAGACCAGTACGTCCGGATCAACTGGGAGAATATTCCACAAGGTTAGAAGATGTGTGTAAATGTGGACAAATCTCAAATACTATAGAGTAAAAACAATCTTTTTATTTTAGCGTGATGAAAACCTCAGTAACAATGAACACTCGTTGTCCCTTTGCACAGCATCTGCATACAACTTTGAGAAGAAGGACACAAATAATCTGAATACCCCTTATGACTACAACTCAATCATGCATTATGGAAGGTAAAACTTCACCCATATTACTTTTGAAATCATGCTTCAGGACAGATATATAAAGTACATTCTCATGGGAATTCACTCTCGCCCTCCATTTGCAGGACAGCCTTCGCCATACAGTATGGGAAGGAAACCATCACTCCTATTCCTAACTCTTCAGTGCAAATCGGACAGAGGCTGGAAATATCTAACATTGACATTCAGAAGATCAACAAGCTCTATGAGTGTGGTGAGTACATTACACGCATGTACAGTAGTCTCATTTAGTATTTTAGACTGTAATGACTGGGCAAAGTTACTATGATGCAGATGGAATAAGGGTACATTTATTTATTTATTTTTTACCTGCAGCTCTTTAAAGTAAAGACTCGAGATCAAACCCCAGTGAAATGCTGACAGTGACTAAATAAAAGGAGTACGGCACAGTGTAAGCAAAGTACATCTTTTCCTTCCTCCTTTGTCTGTAACTTGACCACATAAATGTAATGGACTGACTTCGGTGTTGAATTGCAATAAACCTTGTTACGAGTGACTCCTGATGTGGTTTCGTGTTAGTTCCTAGCAGGGTTGAACTCCTCGAGATACTTAACAAGTTAAGGGAAAATGCGCGCACACACCACACTCATGAGTAGTCTCTATGAAAGCCTGTTTCTGCCTCAGAGTAAAAAAGCCACAATTAAAAGAAGTTAACTTCCAAATGTGAGATGTAAGGTTGCATTATGAGAAATAAATGTGCAATTACAAGAGAAAGTAGCAAATGTGAGATTTAAAGTCACAAGTATGAGATATTTGGCAAAATAAAGGGACAATTGTGTGATATTCAAAGTTGCTATTATGGGAAATGAAGTCGCAATTATGAAAATTAAAGACAAAGTATCAACTGTGAGGCTAAAAGTAACAATTATGAGAAATAAGGTTGAAGTTATGATAAATTGTCACATTGTGAGATATTAAGTGCCAATTCTAAAGTTGCAATTATGAGAAATAAACTTGTAGCTGTGAGACAGTCACAATTATGAGAAATAAAGTTGCAATTAAGACAAAGTAGGAACTGTGGGATTTAGTCAATTACGAGATATATTAAAAATGTGAGGTATGAAATTGCAATTAAGGGAAATAAAATGATAAAAAAAGTCACATTGTAAGATATAAAGTGTCAGTAGAAAGACATAAAGTCGCAGTTCTGAGAAATAAAGCTGCAATTACAAGGGGAAGTAGCAATTGTGAGAATAAAAGACAATTATGAGAAATAGTCACATTGTGAGATATAAAGTGCCGTGTGTAATATATAAAATGATATGAGGAAAAAGTCACAATTATGAGAAATGAAGTCCAATTTTTTTTTTACTTGAGCCAGAAACAGGCTACTGTACCTTAATGTTATTTACCAGTGATAGAACAAGATTACAGTTTGATGAACTCGAGCTGTAAGCCTCAGCTGAGTTAGATTAGTAACATTAGTATCAAGCTGTCATTCCTTTATTATAATGACATTAGGAAAGGAGCGAAAGGCACACAGAATAAAACATTCACTGACAGTCAGCGCATCCATAAACAAACGAGTCAGTCATGTCCAGTAGATGGCACTAAGAGTCTGATCACGATGGCCTTCCTGCACAGAATGACTAATGCTATCAGGCCTCTATCAGGTTACCCAATAAAAGCTCTTACTCATGGCAAGACTTGACAAGACCGGATTCTTATTCCCCTCTTCTCATTTTAGGCACGTGGACAGTTTCTTTTTTTGTCCCAGTAAAATCTGAGAATAACGCCAGGTGCCTTCAAAGTGGAACACAGCATATCCTAAAGCTAGCAGTTGCAAAACTTTATTCCAAAGAGGAGGACTGAGGCTTTTTTGAGGAACTACAAACCCCATAAACACCTGGACACTCACAGCTTTGGTGTAGGAGGGTCTTTCTGCTCAATGTCTCCATTTGGCGCTTTATTCTCTGGTTCATTTGGACTGGTTTGAGGGGTCTTGGGTTTCTGTTGATCCCTTCTCAAGTGTCTCCTCTGACGTCTCCTTTTGGGCCTGTCTTTTGAAGCTGGGTTCGTTTCTGGTACATCCAGCAGGGGGTCCAGGTGGATCTTCCCACTCACTGCATCTGAGGACTCGTCAATGTACGCAAGATTTTCCCCAAAGTAATCCAATGGCTGAGAGAGGACGGGATCTTTGGGTATGGCATGGAGCTTTTCCTCTTTCTCTAAATCTTTTCCGCCACCGCCACCGCCACCGCCCTCTCCCACTGGGACCCGTTCTGTCTCGGTCACCTCCGACTGTGACTCAGAGCTGCCTTCCGACTCATCCGATGAACCCGAGTAGGAGCCAGATTCAGATTCGTTCTCCTCTCTCCCGTCCTCTCCGGCTTCACCCTGACTGCCGCTGCGTCTGTGGCGCCTGTGACGCCGCTTTCGCCTGCTGCGCTTGAAAGGATCTTCGAGTTTTCCGGACATACGGAAATCCACAGACATGTTCTGGATGTTCTGAGTCCAGTCTGTGGCGTGTGCTCGCAACTCCTCCATCTGAGAGCAGAAAGTAGGGCAGGAGAAATGGAAAGGCTTGAGAGTTATGGAGAGATTTGTATGTCACCAGGAGCAGAGTGATTGAAATTTGATACAGATTTTAGGTTAATAGGAGTTGTGGAGATGAATTACGGGTGTGAGGGAAAATGGAAGGGAGGTTATCATGAAGATAGAAGGGACGGGAATTGAGAGAGAAATTAATAATCCCATTTGAGTTGCAGTGCTGAGTTTGACCAGGGAGTGTGACCAGGCACTACTCTAAACTGCACAAGACATTTGGTTATAAAAAATGTATTTGACATCATGATTTAATCATAGGCTTACCTCAGCTCGGGTTTTTTTGGTAAGAACCAGAATCCAGTTCCCGATCATGGAAAGAATGGACACAAAGTAGGCCAAACCAAACAAAACCCAGAACCACACCAGAGGCTTATACCAATGATGTTCACCTGCTTCGCCATCACCTGATGGACAAAAAATGTACAAAATACATAAAGATCAAGTCATTTATTCAAATTAAAGAGATTGTTCGCCCAAAAAATGAAATTTCTATAATCATGTCATCACCTTCATGCAGTTCCAAACCTGTTTGACTTTAGTTCTTCTGTGGAACACAAAAGAAAATATTTTGTGGATTTCAACTGTTTTTATCCATAATATGAAAATCAATGGGACCCAAAACTTTCAAGCTCCAAGATGGACATAAAGGTAGTGTTTTCATTCACTCTGAAATTAAATCAAAACAATGATTAATCCAAACAAATACAAAAATGACGAGGCAAACCTCAAAAGTTGTGAACGAGAACCAATACGTTTTGACAGTAGGTGAAGTTTGAGGGTTTGTGTCGTCATATTTTATGTAGTCTGTGATTTGATTTGAGATTGAATAAAAGGTTATTCTGACCTGTTCATCAATTATCTTATGGCTTCGAACGGAATGTACCAGTCAAATTGTATGGATTCATTTAATGCTACCTTTGTGTCCTTTTTTGGATCTTGAATGTTTTGGGTCATATTGACTTTCATACTAAAGTCAAGCTAAAATATTCTTTGAAATACACTCACCTAAAGGATTATTAGGAACACCATACTAATACTGTGTTTGACCCCCTTTCGCCTTCAGATCTGCCTTAATTCTACGTGGCATTGATTCAACAAGGTGCTGAAAGCATTCTTTAGAAATGTTGGCCCATATTGATAGGATAGCATCTTGCAGTTGATGGAGATTTGTGGGATGCACATCCAGGGCACGAAGCTCCCGTTCCTTCCACATCCCAAAGATTGGGTTGAGATCTGGTGACTGTGGGGGCCATTTTAGTACAGTGAACTCATTGTCATGTTCAAGAAACCAATTCGAGCTTTGTGACATGGTGCATTATCCTGGTGGAAGTAGCCATCAGAGGATGGGTACATGGTGGCCATAAAGGGATGGACATGGTCAGAAACAATGCTCAGGTAGGCCGTGGCATTTAAACGATGCCCAATTGGCACTAAGGGGCCTAAAGTGTGCCAAGAAAACATCCCCCACACCATTACACCACCACCAGCCTGCACAGTGGTAACAAGGCATGACGGATCCATGTTCTCATTCTGTTTACGCCAAATTCTGACTCTACCATCTGAATGTCTCAACAGAAATCGAGACTCATCAGACCAGGCAACATTTTTCCAGTCTTCAACTGTCCAATTTTGGTGAGCTCTTGCAAATTGTAGCCTCTTTTTCCTATTTGTAGTGGAGATGAGTGGTACCCGGTGGGGTCTTCTGCTGTTGTAGCCCATCCGCCTCAAGGTTGTGCGTGTTGTGGCTTCACAAATGCTTTGCTGCATACCTCGGTTGTAGCGAGTGGTTATTTCAGTCAAAGTTGCTCTTCTATCAGCTTGAATCAGTTGGCCCATTCTCCTCTGACCTCTAGCATCAACAAGGCATTTTCGCCCACAGGACTGCCGCATACTGGATGTTTTTCCCTTTTCACACCATTCTTTGTAAACCCTAGAAATGGTTGTGCGTGAAAATCCCTGTAACTGAGCAGATTTTGAAATACTCAGACCGGCCCGTCTGGCACCAACAACCATGCCACGCTCAAAATTGCTTAAATCACCTTTCTTTCCCATTCTGACATTCAGTTTGGAGTTCAGGAGATTGTCTTGACCAGGACCACACACCTAAATGCATTGAAGCAACTGCCATGAGATTGGTTGATTAGATAATTGCATTAATGAGAAATTGAACAGGTGTTCCTAATAATCCTTTAGGTGAGTGTATCTTATTTTGTGTTTTGCATTAGAAAGAAAGTCATGCAGGTTTGGAATGCCATAAGGTTGAGTATGTGATAACAGAATTTTCATTTTGGATGAAATATCCTTTTGTTTCTTGTTAAATAAAGGTAAGATGTTTAGCATTCCAAGTCACTTTGTAGTTTCAGTTCAGCCACTTGAAAACCAAATCAAACTGTCCTGTTAAATAATGTGGTCAGTGGTAAATTTGAACCAGTAATATAAAAAGATCAACCCATTAAAGCCCATCACAAGATGACTGCAGTGGTTTGTGTTTTAATGTCACGTTTCATGGAAAAATGAGGTTTTCACTGAGGGTTAACATCTTGAGTAAGAATTCAGATGCTTTCAGGTGTAAATCTCAAAATGAAATGCAAACTACTTAAACTGTTGCAAAGCGTGAGGAAACAATACATGGGAAACAAGTGAGGAAACATTTCAGGATTTCATCCAGTGGTACCTGCAACATAGTCTCCAAAGCCCACAGTTGTGAGGGTGATGACCACAAAGTAGGCTGATTCTAGCAGAGTCCAATTTTCAACCTTCTGGAAGACTAAAATTGGCACAAAGACGAAGAGAACACAGCCCAGCAGGATGGAGAGCACAGCGGTGATGACGCGCACAATGGTTGGGCTCACCTTCCACTTCTGAATGGAGAAGATAAGGAAGACTGAAGAAAAAAATCCTAATAAGCTTGAAATAAACAATTGCGACAAAGAGCCAGGAATGTGTATG